GTATCAGCACTGTGTTAGAAACAATAGGAGTGGGGCCTAGGCTTAGTAGCCTAGGCCCACACTAGGAGGTAGTAGGTTGTGCCCTAGGACTAGGGTTTGTGGTATACGAAGGAGAATTGGAGAAGTGAGAATGGGAATGATGATTTGAACTAGCAAGCAGCAGGATACATATAGGAAACCCTAAGGGGTTGTACTCACTATTGAGCACCCCACTGCAGGCTAGACAAATAACATAATCTGACACACCCCCATAGCCAAAGTGGGGTGTAATCAGCACACGTGAGAAGTCACAGCAATAGTTCACAATTATCAGCAAAGCTAGTGGCAGTCACAGGAGGCCAGTGAGGAGGAGGAGGAACTGTGGAGGGAGAGAAGAGAGGAGGCGACGACTGAAGTTGCAGACACACGGGCACCAGGAGCACCAGGTTGCAACCTCCTCCAACTGTCTCACTCCCCCCTACACTCACCCCCAGTGTCACCACTCGCTTCTCGCCCACATCACCCCCTTAGCACCACTCCCTCGTCTCCCACACATCCACCCCCCCGCAGCGGCAGCTGCAGCAGTGGGAGACGGAGGAGAAGGTAGGGGCGACGCACAAGGAGCACCCCCACACCCGCCACCCCCACACCCTCCTGTCCAGGGGACCCAAGGGGGGGGGGGGGGGAGGGCCGGGGCGGGAGAGCGCACGAGGGCGCAGGCAACCGCGCGTGCAGAGCAACAGCGCGGAGCAGGTAGGGTAGAGCGCACGAGGGCGCGGGCAACCGCGCGTGCAGAGCAACAGCGCGGAGCAGGTAGGGTAGAGCGCACGAGGGCGCGGGCAACCGCGCGTGCAGAGCAACAGCGCGGAGCAGGTAGGGTAGAGCGCACGAGGGCGCGGGCAACCGCGCGTGCAGAGCAACAGCGCGGAGCAGGTAGGGTAGGGCGCACGAGGGCGCGGGCAACCGCGCGTGCAGAGCAACAGCGCGGAGCAGGTAGGGTAGGGCGCACGAGGGCGCGGGCAACCGCGCGTGCAGAGCAACAGCGCGGAGCAGGTAGGGTAGGGCGCACGAGGGCGCGGGCAACCGCGCGTGCAGAGCAACAGCGCGGAGCAGGTAGGGTAGGGCGCACAAGGGCGCGGGTGAGACTGAGCGTGACTGCACAGGGTCCAGGAGCGGCGTCGCGGGCAGCTGCATGGTCGGCTGCTGCTGGTGCGGTTGCTCCAGGGGCGGCGACTGAGGTTCTGGGGGCAGCTGCAGCAGTGGCGACTGCTCCAGGGGCCAGGGGCGGCTGCTGCAGGGGCGGCTGCTCCAGGGGCGGCGTCGCGGGCCCAGGGGCGGCTGCACCAGGGGCGGCGGCTCCAGTGGCGGCTGCTCCAGAGGCGGCTGCTGCAGAGGCGGGCGACTCCAGGGGAGGCTGCTGCAGTGGCGGGCGGCTCCAGGGGCGGCTGCTGCTGTGGCGGGCGACTCCAGGGGCGGCTGCTGCAGTGGCGGGCGGCTCCAGGGGCGGCTGCTGCAGTGGCGGGCGACTCCAGGGGCGGCCGCTGCAGTGGCGGGCGGCTCCAGGGGCGGCTGCTGCAGTGGCGGGCGGCTCCAGGGGCGGCTGCTGCTGTGGCGGGCGACTCCAGGGGCGGCTGCTGCAGTGGCGAGCGGCTCCAGGGGCGGCTGCTGCTGTGGCGGGCGACTCCAGGGGCGGCTGCTGCAGTGGCGGGCGGCTCCAGGGGCGGCTGCTGCAATGGCGAGCGGCTCGAGGCGCGCCCTGGCCTGACCCAGTCCGTACGGGCCGCGCTGGCGCTCGCGGCTGGCCGTGGCGCTGGCGTCCGCGCGGGGCGACGAAAGGGGGGGGCGCGGGGCGACGAAACGGGGGCCGCGGGCGACGGGAACGGGGGGCCGCGGGCGACGGGAACGGGGGGCCGCGGGCGACGGGAACGGGGGGCCGCGGGCGACGGGAACGGGGGGCCGCGGGCGACGGGAACGGGGGGCCGCGGGCGACGGGAACGGGGGGCCGCGGGCGACGGGAACGGGGGGCCGCGGGCGACGGGAACGGGGGGGCCGCGGGCGACGGGAACGGGGGGCCACGAGCGACGGGAACGACGCGGGGCGACGCGGGGGCGACGGGGCAGAAAGCCGCCGCGCGCCTCGGGGCGCACGGCGGGCAGAAAACCGCCGCGCGCCTCGGGGCGCACGGCGGGCAGAAAACCGCCGCACGCTCCGAGCGCGCGGCGGGATGAAAAATCCGTCGCACGCCACGGGGCGTGCAACACACAGAGTAGCAGTAGCAGCGGAAGCAGTGAGGTGGTGGGCCCATTGAGGTAAGCGGCAGGAACGTGCTCGCTCTGATACCATGTTAGAAACAATAGGAGTGGGGCCTAGGCTCACTAGCCTAGGCCCACACTAGGAGGTAGTAGGTTGTGCCCTAGGACTAGGGTTTGTGGTATACGAAGGAGAATTGGAGAAGTGAGAATGGGAATGATGATTTGAACTAGCAAGCAGCAGGATACATATAGGAAACCCTAAGGGGTTGTACTCACTATTGAGCACCCCACTGCAGGCTAGACAAATAACATAATCTGACACACTGCTCCGAACTCAGCGGCGTGGTCAAGCAGGTCAAGTCGAGCTACGGCCAGGAGTGAAGGGGGGTGTTACGAATAGTAATATTTGATATTACTGTGCACTCCTCACCGCAGCAAAGAGAAGCACGCAGTAACGAGAATGAACGCGAAGCGTCAGACGGTTGGAATTGACTCGAAGCGTCGGACAGTTGGGACGCATCTGGACCGTCGGAGCAGACAGCATCGGGCAGCTGCAGGCAAGGTGGTTTTGGCGGGAACAGTTACGAAACTGTACGCGCCGCACGGTTGGGGATGTATTTGAATAAGGGAATGTACCCCTTATAGTACATGGCTAGCTAGGACGATTCGTATTCCTATGTACTCTTATTTATATGACCTTGTTTGCATGTTTTTATCATCTCAAGCATTTTACATTCACTCTGCTATTGAGGTCAAGGGCCCACCAACTATTTCACTGCGTGCGAACCTTCCTGGGTAGATCCCGGCCTACGATCAATTTCTGATCGCAGCACACTCAACCTCATTTTGCTTAGGTGCTCATGCGCCTATCCCGGGGCTTGATAGCCGACCAAGCGCTTAGCTCGGAAGCAACTCGATTGGTCATGCAAGTGTTGCCCATTTCCAAGCATGTGCTCATGCGCCTGCCAAACAGGACCCTGGTTGGCAATGCCCAGCGTCCCGCACGTGATTCGGCTTTCAGTCACTTGCGAGTCGGCTAATTTTGTAGCCTTTATTACAACGCGCAACCGTAATTTTGTAGCCAATCACGAAACATTACCTTCTTAGTATAAGCCTCGTGTTTGGATTGTGGTAAAATGTACTCACGAGTCACGATCAGCTGTTTTAGAAAATGTGGCGTTGCATATCCTCCTAATAAAAAACTATTGCCTGCTCCCAACTTTCACATCGTTCGTAATTTGTTTTTTTTTTATACCATACCATTGTTTTCGATTCGTAATAGACAACCAGCAACGCAAACTGTAGAGGATTTCCTTTCCCTGCGGTCCGCGCCGTACCGTATGCTCTCGGACCTGTCCGCTGGAACTGGGCTGGAAATGCATCTTCGGTTCTTGGTTTGCCCACGGGTCTGCAAACGTGACGACCGTCAGTTTTATTGCCCTACCACCGACTGGACGTCGCGTCATATCTCACCCCTTGAACCGTAGGGCGGAGAAGATGTCACTGTACAAAGAAACGCAACACCGTCATAGGCTGCTGGAGTGTGTGGCGGTTGCATTCCACGGTTCCACGGTCCACCTCGGTTTCGTCGCCCAGCAGCTGCAGTTGTCCCTGACTGGGATATCAGGATCTGTTTGCCACGTGGAGGAAGAGTAGCCTTTCCTCTTCCTCGGAGATGGGGAACCGGGTTACCTTACTGGCGCACCGTTTGCTACCCAGTAGGCGGTTAGCAGGCTGTATTTTCGAAAAAGAAGTGCCCCCGTGACCCGCGGTTCGGGTTCATTGTTTGTTTGCAAATGTGATTGCTTGCTATTACCGACTTTTACTGGTAGGGGTGTCGTACGTTTACATTCAGATACGTGGTAGGCCTGACGTTTACTGTAAGGCCTGCCAAAAGCACATCCTTTTCCACCTCCTAAGAACTTGTGACACACGATTTTCAATTCTCCGGACTTTTGTACATAGACTGGGATTGGGTATCTGCTGGGGTGACCAGAATACTTACTGTATATCATCGGAAATCACGCATTGGGTGTGGTAGGCGAGCCCCGTCATTTGACTGATCGAACCTTCCTCTTCCGTTCCGTTCCGTTCCATCAGCCATTCCGACCAAGAAGGGTTGCAAACAATCGTAAAAAAAGCAGGCTCCATTTTTCTTTCCTGCCTGCTTTCCGCCATCAGCAGTTTGGGTACCTCTCCCACTCCAACCGTCTGTCTTGTAACCTACGCCTTCGACTTCGACACATTCCTTGCAGCATCGCCTGATAATCAGATCCCAATTTCCATTCCGTACCATCGTGTTATCTGCCGCGAGTTTCTCACATTTCTTCATTTTCTCCGCGATTTATCACACCTGTTCACAACAGCCACCAAAGGACATCTTCACTAGATATTTTTTCTATCACAGACCCAGCGCAGCAATAGCCTATTGTTCCGCCTGCTCTTTCCAACTTCAGCTCATTCTAGCGGTCCGGCGTAACCTGTGTCTCCTGCCGAAAGGGCAGGGATTGGTTGACGGGAAACAGTGGTCAAGATAAATCGGCACACAGCTGATCACTTAATATATAGCTGATCAGTGGGGATCGCCCAGATCTCAAACGCGCCGCGCCTCAATCGCAGCATCATTGGCGCGCAGCGCAGCGCCGCAGCGCGTTGACCGTGGCGTGAACCACGTCTCGGTTCCTGATCCTGATCCTGCCCCGTCGTGCACCCTCTCGCCATTTCGTCCATCACCCGCGCTTCCCCCGCGTCACCGTGCTACCCTCCGCCATGATGTCGTCTCAAGCTCTCCGGATCTCCGGCGGGGCTGGCGCGTCCGGCGCGGTCGGTGCGGCTGGTGCGGCTGGGGGCTTGGGATTGACGGCCTCCAGGCCTGTAGGAGCCGGCCGGTATAAAGGAGGAGCTGCTTCAGTGACGTGCACAGTATCACGTGCGAGTCCATCCTGCGCAAGGGCAACCGTTTCAGGTATGCGGGGAAGACTTCAACGGCGTGTCAACAGCTGCGTCAGCGGAGTGCAAAGTAACGCGCACGACCGTCTAGCACAAGGGCAACTGGGGGTTCTTCCCGTCCCTCCCTTCTTTCCCTTCTCCGCTGTCTCTCTCTTTCTCACTGCCTTCCTCTCTCCAGCCTCCCTCCTCTCCCTTCGTTTCCTCCCCTCCCGGTCCCCTCCCTTTTTCCTGCCCCTTCCCCTTCTCCCCTCCCTCTTCCACGATCCCCTCTTTCTCACCCTTCCCCACCCTTCTCCCTCGCCGTTTGCTTCTGCCCTGTCATCCGTTCTTCACGTTCTGCCCCTCGTTCTGCCCCTCGTTCTGCCCCTCGTTCTGCTCTGCGGACCACGGATCCGGCTAACTTCCCCTCAAACTACCTCTACCCACGCTCATAATCCGCCTTCTTCCCCTTATTCCCCCGACTCGCCCTCCCCCCTCTCCCCTCCACCCCACCCCTCCTCCTCTTCCGCCGTGGCCCATCTCCTCCCCCTTTCTCCCTCCTCTCCCTCCCCCACCCCTTCCTCGTTTCTGGACAGCAGCGCATCTGAGTCAAGGAATCCGCGTTAGAAGCAGTGTAACCACGACCGCGCATGTTACCAGCAGAAGCGGAACCATCAGCAGCTCCTCTTCACCCACCTTCGGATCTCGCCCTTTCTTGTTGGAGACGCGGTTTCGAATCCCGGCGACGCCATGCGCGCCCCTGGTGGAGAGGAGGTCAGCGCGGAACGGGGCTGCGCGGAACGGGAGCGCGCGGAACAGCCTGGCGGAAGGGCAGGGGATGGGGGAGGTGGTCAAGAGCGGAATCACCCGCGCGCAGGAGAATCTGGATGCGTTCGTGCGGTTCACCCGCCCGCACACCATGATTGGCACGGTGAGTCTCTTTGGCTTGAATGGTTTGACTGACTTGACTGACTTGACTGACCCGAATGACTTGAAAGGGAACGTGCTTAGATGTGGCTTATCTTGGCCTATGGTTCACCCGCCCGTACACCTTGATTGGCACGGTGAGTGTGTGGCTTGAATGGCTTGACTGACTTGACTGACTTGAATAACTTGATAGACACAGGACCCTGCGAAGTGGTAACTCCACGGCGATGAGAGTCTGTGGCTTGAGTGACCTGAATATGAACATACACGGACGTACATTAAGTAAACTCAATTATCATCTGGCCGCGGAGCATCATTGAGGCTGAATCTGTGTATTTGTGACTTCACTTTGAATGAGATCTATTCACAAACTGATATTAGCAAGAAATGTAACCAAGTGAAGGGAGGAGCAAGAGATTGAGCAAGAAAACTCATCTTCTTGTGATTGCCCTTACCCACTTATCTCCCCGTGCTTGCCTTGCCCCTCATGTTCGTCCCTCTCCTCCCTGCCGCCCACCCCCACAACAGACCATCAGCATCGTGTCCGTGTCCCTGCTCGCAGCTGCCTCCGTCGCTGATCTCAACACGCGCTTCCTCGTCGGCCTTTTACAGGCAAGCCCCTCCCTTTCAATGAAGCAGGAAAAACGGAAGAAAAAATAATAAAAAGAAGAAGTCAAGTGAAGCGCACCTTCCCTGTGGGACTTTTAAGGGGAGAGCCGCTCCGTTTGGGCGCTATGTGCGCTGTATGCAGTCTCAGCCTGTACACTATACCCGTCCGTGTCATTCTCCCTGGGATGCACGTAACACACATGATTGGCCTGGTGTTTCCACGTCATCAGCCTCTTGGTTCCTTGGTGCCCCTTGGTTCCGGTATACCAGCTTCTTGCTCCCACTGCCTAGCTACCCAACCCCAATCTCACGTGCTTATGTATAAAGCCGGAAAGAATAAATTTCTGTCCAAGCAGCTGGTGCTGTCCATCCCTGCTGTGTGCACCTGCTTCTCTCCCCCTCATTCTCACCCTTCAACCGAATCCTCTGCTTGTTACTCCATCCCCCCTCTTCTCTTCTCTTCTCCTTGTCTTCTCTTCTCCTTGTCTTTCCCTTGCTGCTCTGGGCTCACCTGCCTCAGACGGTGGTACTGCTCGCGAACGTGTACATCGTGGGGCTCAACCAGCTGTTTGACATCGCCGTGAATTCACTCCTCGTGTGTGTCCCCCTCTCCCTCTCCTCTTCCCCGGGCTGGTCTGCTCTGGGCTCACCTACCTCAGGCTGTGGTACCGGCGCTTCTCGCGAACGTGTACATCGTGGGGCTCAACCAGCTGTTTGACATTGACATTGACAAGGTGAGTGGATGGGTGAGCATTGCAACTGTGCAAGTGCATGCGTCTATGCAGGCCCGAACGCGTGTAAGCATGCTCACATGTATGGGATTTGACATTGACATTGACAAGGTGGGTGAGTGGATGTGGAAGGGTGTTGAGGGTGTAGGTGTGTGTGTAAGAGTGTATGTGCCTGCATGCCTATGGTGAGACGCCTCGAGGCTCAACCAGCTGTTTGACATTGACATTGACAAGGTGAGTGTGTGGGTGGGTGGGTGGGTGGGTGGGTGGGTGGGTGGGTGGGTGGGTGGGTGGGTGGGTGGGTGGGTGGGTGGGTGGGTGGGTGGGTGGGTGTGTGGGTGTGCAGTGCTGGTTTTTGAGAATTCTCAAAAACCACCTGGGTGTGCAAGCGTCTGCGCGTGCGAATGTGTACATCGCGGGGCTCAACCAGCTGTTTGGCATCGAAATTGGCAGGGTGGGTGTCTGTTTGCGACCATTGTCCATGCACACAGCCTCCACACATCCTCTTCCCTCTCCACACTCCCAACCCAACCCAACCATGTGTCTTCCAAATCAGCGCTCAGCACACTGGGTTCCCTAGCCTGTCTTAACCAAGCTCTTTCTCATCGATTTCATAGTCTTTACTTTCATTATCGGTCGGAATAAATGCCATCGCCCCCTCCTCCTCCTCTCTCTCTCCCCATCTTTTCCCACTCTTCTTATCCATTTTCTCCTCCTCTTCTCCTCCTCCCCTCCTCCCCTTCTCTCCTTCTCCCCTTCTCCCCCATCTCGTGCCGCAGGTGAACAAGCCCTACTTGCCTCTCGCCAGTGGGGACTTTTCTGTGCGGACAGGCGTCACCATCGTCACTGTCTGCGCTATTCTCGTAAGTCAGTGCTTATGAGTGCTGTGTTGTGAGAGACGTCTTGAGTTTTGAGTCGACCGACTCTTAAGATCTCTCTGTGCGGACAGGCGTAACTGTCTGCGCTATTCTCGTAAGCCCGCACTTTTGCATGCCGGCTATGAAGAGAGAGAGAGAGAGAAAGAAACGTGTGAGGGAGGGACGACGGTCGTATCTGTGCAACCCTTGAGTCAGGGTCTGATCCGCTTCAGAAAAAATCATCACGCTGCTCTGTATATGGGTGCGTCGCTTCGAGTTAAAAATTATAACACCCAAATCTGCCCACCCAACCCCCAATAAGCATGACTTGTATGGGCACCCCAATCATCATTACTCCTCAACCTATCATCATCCGCGTCTGCTGCACTGCACCCTGTCCCTTTTGACAAGTCTCCTCTTTCTGCCCTCCTCGCACTCTACACCGTTAAATCCATTCACACGAGGCATCTGTTAAGGCGCCTCACACATTCCTCCCCTCCCCTTCCCCTCCACTTCCCCTCGCCTCCCCTCGCCCTCTTGCCTCCCCACTTCAGAATCTGGCTTTGGGCATCCTTTCAGGCTCCATGCCACTGCTGGCAACGCTCGTCATAGTTTTGAGGCGCCTCAAAACTAGACTCCTCTCCCTTTCTCCATTCGCCCTCTCTCCCCTCCGCCAGAGTCTGGCGCTGGGCATCCTTTCGGGCTCCATGCCACTGCTGGCAACGCTCGTCATCAGCATGCTCCTCGGAACAGCCTACTCCATTGATGTATGCTGCTCACTCCCCTCAGCTACGTTGGGTTTGCTTCTACGAACTCTCTAAAGCAATTTTTAAGCCATCCACTTCCCCACCCCGTCCACTTCCCCACCCCGTCCCCCTTCCTCTTTGCACCTACCTACCCCGCTCCCCCTCCTTCCTCTTTTGATTTCGTCTCCGTCGTCTTCTTCTGGAATTCCGTTTTCATTTCGTCTTCTTCTGGGATTTCGTTTTCATTTCCTCTTCTTCCGGAATTTCTTTTTCATTTCGTTGTCTTCTTCTGGAATTTCTTCCTTTTATATGGACGCTTCACTTCTGTAGCTATCTTCCATGGCATGCCAGTGCGTTCACACCTCCCCTTTCTGCCACCCCTCTCTCTCTTCCCTCCCTCCATCTCACCTTCTTGCCCTTCTGTCTAATCCACCCCCATCCCTTCTGCCCTTCTCCCGCTTATCTCTACCTCTCCCTTCCTCCTCTCTGCTCCTCCACACGCCCTCAGGTGCCCTTTCTCCGCTGGAAGCGCTTCCCTGTCATGGCAGCATCATGCATCCTGGCAGTGCGGGCAGTCATCGTGCAGCTCGGCTTCTACTCGCACATGCAGGTGCGCTGCTGTGCTGGTGTGGTGGTATGTGTGTGATGCGCTAATTTGTAAGAAGAAGCTAAACCTCAGCCCCCAGTGAGTCATGACTCATCCTGGCGGTGCTGGCAATCATCGTGCAGCTATGCTTCTACTCGCACATGCAGGCACGCTGCTGTATTTTTCGGGTCTGGTTTGTGTGTGCGTGGTGATGCACTTGTTTCTCACAAAGTCATGCATCCTGGATGGCAGTGCGTGCAGTCATCGTGCAGCTAGGCTTCTACTCGCACATGCAGGTGCGGTGGTTGGTCCTACTCTCTTGCTTTTTCTGGCTCTCTCTTGCTGTTTCTGACTCTAGTGCGTGTCTGTGTTGTGATAACCCCTCCCACCCACTCTCTTCATGAGATCACCCCGCTCCCTCTCCCCCCCACTCCCACAAATGCAGGTGGCTGTGATGCAGCGCTCCCTGCAGCTCTCCTCCCCGCTCATCTTTGCCACAGCCTTCATGTGCACCTTCTCCATCGTCATTGCTCTCTTCAAGGTACGCTGTTTGCTGCCATCCGTACTGCCAAGGTATGCTACTGCTGCGCTGCTGCGCTGCTGTGCTGCTGTGCTGCCAACCCGCCTTAAAAATACTCTCTTGTGCCCCATTCCTCTCATCTCCCTTTCTCTTGGTCCACAGGACGTGCCTGATGTGGAGGGCGACAGGGTCTTTGGCATCCGCTCTCTCAGCGTCAGGGTGGGCCAGAAGAAGGTAAGAGGCTAGGGGCGTGCTGCAGGGGTAGTATTAAGATAGTGTCTGGAGAGTTAGGAAAACTTCTCCTCTTTTTCGTTTTTTTTTTTCTTCTTCTTCATGAAACGCGTCAAAACCCTGCACGCGCCCATCCCCTGCAAAGCCGCCTTAGTGCATTGTTTTGAGGTCTTGAAACTGGGAACTTGATTGTGATCATGCCGTTTATGAAACCCCTCAAAACTTATGCTCCCCTGTCCATCTCCCCCTCACGGCAGGTGTACTGGTTCTGTGTGTCCATCCTGCTTGCATCCTATGCTGCTGCAACCATCATGGGCCTCACCTCTTCCATGCTCTGGTCCAAGATCCTCTCTGTACGCTTCTCTAGCTGCACCGCCACCATTCATTTCCCCTCAACTTTCGCCGCCTCCTAACTCCATGCTTTCCCTCGCTTCTCTGTTCCCGGCTCCCATTCCTTCTCACCTCCTGGATAATCTGGTCCAATATCCTCTCGTATGCTCTATTCTCTCCTCCTCCTCCTCTCCCTCCCTCCTACCCTACGTCTTCCTTTGCTTACAAAATCTGTTCATTTTTCAGGGAGATTTTCTTTCCTCTAGTCGTGGTTGTTATTTGTGCTGCTGCCTTGCACTCTCCCCTCACCTTGCCCTCCTCCCCTCACTGTGTGCTGGCAGGTGGTGACCCATGTGGGTGCAGCCACTGCCCTGTGGCGCGTGGCATCATCAGCAGACCTATCGAGCCAGCAGGACATCACGGATGTGTACATGTTCATATGGAAGGTGCGTGGATGCATGGATGTGTGGTTCAATGGGTGGCTGTTGGATGGCTGGATGGGTGCATGGATTAATTGATGTCGGAATGAATGCAATTTCGCCCGTCCGACTGCCCCCTCTTTGCTCCCGCTCTACTCCCATTCTCGACTAGCTTTCACTTGTAACTCACTCACTTCCATTCACTCCTCCTGTCTCTCCCACCCCCAACGGCTATTCTACCACGAGGACCTCTTTATCCCCTTCTTGAGATGTTGTTTTCACTCTGCACTCTCTTGGCTTTCACTTGTAACTCACTCGCTCCCATTCACTCCCCCTCTCTTTCCCCCACAATGCCCCTCCACACAGCTATTCTACCTCGAGTACCTATTCATCCCCTTCTTGAGATGAAGAGCGCATGCTGCACTCTGCGCTCTGCTAACAAAGAGAGGCGCCTTCCCAGCAGCAGCCTTTCCTTCCATTGGCAGACAGTGCATCAGTGGCACCACCACGACCACCACCACTGCGATCCTACTCTCCCCCCCACTCTCCTCCCTTCCTGCTATTGTATTCTGGACTATACCAGACTTCACCAGAGATTGTACTCACTTGTTGTTCCACTTGTTCCGGGTTTCTTGGCTGGGAGGAGCCATGAGGCTGCTGCAATCATAAACGCTGTTGTGCAGAGGGTTTTAATTAGATTCGCTGCTGCTTGTAGGCTGTGCTTGCTGCTGTATGCAGCCTCATACCTCCCCTCATCCATGCTCTTGCTTTGCTGGACCTTAACTAGTTAAATAGTCTGATTTTATGTGTGCTTTGCACATGAATGTGAATCGAATCTGTGAATGACATGCCTTTTGCATTTGCACCAAGATTGTTTCTATTTCCAAAGACTCCGTCAGGCTTTATGCTTCTAAGAATCCTGGTACAGCGCCTGCGCCGCAACAATTCTCCGCACACCACCACAACAATGGAACAACATACCGTAACATGTTCGTTGACAGCTTTCCATAACCTTCTAGACAGTTGCAGCCCTCCTCGTTGTCTTCCTATACCCCTGGTCTCCTCAGTTGCTACCTTCATCCCTGATGCTTCACTTCATCAGGGAGCTGGTCAGAGACTGATCAGGGAGCTGGTCAGAGAGTTATCAGGGAGTCAAGAGTGCTGGTCTCTGACCTATTTGACTTGCCCTCTCCCTGCAAGCAGGCCCTCTCCCTGCAAGCAGCCTCAAGACTCTTTCTGCAGGACCAGCACTCCTGACTCCCTCACCCCTTTAACCCTCCATCGCTGCGTGCTGATCCCCACACTGGGTGTATCCAGTTTCGCCCTGCGAGCAGCCACACGAGCAGCCTCAAAATTCTTTCTCCAGGACCAGTTCTCCTGACTCCCTCACCTCTTTCACCCTCACTCCATCGCTGTGTGCTGAGCCCTGCATCTGGTGCCCCTGCACCAGGTGTGCCCCGTTTGGCTCTGCATAGATACACCACCTCTTGCCCTCCCTGCACCCGTGTGTCCTTCCCTGCTCCTCCTCCCCTCCTCTGCCGCTGGTCACACCTCTCGTCACCCCGCCACTTTGCTGTACTCACGTTATTCAGTGCTGCAGGGGGGACCCCTCCCCCCTTCAGGTACTTGACTCGTAGCCTTGCTAATGCCACCCAATTCTCCACGTTCCCAGCAGTTACAGTATCTGTCAGCACTAGTGGGGACCAAACTGGCAACACAGGTTCCCGACCGTATAGCAAGCTGTAGGGCGATTGGTCTTTCAGCGCTGCTTGCTTGCCGAACCTATACCCCGCAGCCACCCAGTGTAAGTCCTCGTCCCAATCACACGTCCGCTGCTTGGCATACACCCGGAGGCTCCGCGTCAAGCATTGCACCATCCTCTCCGTCAGCCCATCACTCTGTGGGTGATACCTTGAGGGGGTTCTCCTGCAGGAGATTTCGACTTGGTCCAGCAACGTCTTGAATTCCCCTTGAAACTCGCTCCCTTGATTTGTGAGCACCTCTCTACAGGGCCCGAACTGGCACAGCACCTGTTCTCGGAACGCCTCTGCTATGAGTTTAGAGCTTTTGCTGGGTAGCGCACGCACCTCCAGCCACTTGCTGACGTGTTCCATCATGACCACTATGTAACGATTTCCCCGCCGAGTCAATGGCAATTCCCTCGCCAGGTCTACGGACCATCTGAACCCGAATCGGAGCTCCTTGACGGGTAGAAACTGCAATTCCTGCTCGGCTTGCAGCCGACTTGTCGTACTTTCCCCATATCGGAGCACCTTAATGGGTAGAAATTGCAAATCCTGCTTGGCTTGCACCAAAGTTGCCGTACTTCCGTGGCGCGACTTACTCCACACCCCATTCTCAGTCCCCAGTCGCGAATCAGTCGAGCGCCGCGGTCCCATCAGCCCATCACTCGCTCCTTCGACATCCTTCCGCAGATCTGCCGCCAGACGGCGCAATTCCGTCGCGTTAAGGCGGTAATTCCCGTTCTCGTACTCCACCTCCGGACGCGGATCTGTCGAGCGCCGCGGTGCCATCAGCCCATCACCTGCTCCTTCAAGGGGTTCGACATCCTTCCGCAGATCTGCCGCCAGACGGCGCAATTCCACCACGTCAAGGCGGTAATTCCCGTTCTCGTACTCCACCTCCGGACGCGGACTATATCGCGGCGATGGCCCGCGCGTCTGTCCCGTCAAACGTTCGACATCCTGCGACGTCTCAAGAATGAGATCTGCCGATAGGTGTCCCGCCACTCCGCGGCGCGGCTCGTCGCCGTCGTGAGAGTCTAGATCCAGCGAGCGCCGCGACGCCGTGGGTCCGTGGCGGTCGCCGCCACCACCGTATTCCCCCTGCCGCCGCGCAGCCCCGGCGGCAGGCGGCTGCCGTCCACACACGTCCTGCCGACCAGATCGGGCTCCTCGCAGATCCCAAGGAGAGGTATTCGTCCCGCTCGTTCCCCCCCGATCGGCTCTTTTGCTGTCATCGCCAGCCCTACGATAGCCTTCTGTCTCCCGCCCAGCCAACGGCAGGATCCGATCCGCACGTTCCGCGCGCAACATGATGGGCCTTCCCCTCGATCCGCCGCGCCATGGCAGCTCCTCCTCGCCGCGGCGACGGCCCAAACTCTGACCACTGCGCAAGTATTGATCGTCCATACTTCCCTCCCTATCTACCTAGCGACGGAGTATTCTCACTCTCCCACAAAGTCTTGGCTGCGAGTGGCTTACTACTAGTCACCAAGCACAAAGCATGCAGCAAAAATCTTTGACTTTGTGCAGCCAACTAAAGAAAATGGCAGGGACATAATTCTCACGCTGTCCTCGCGGCTTTGAGGTGCCTGCCCCGAGGCGCACATTTTCCTATGTGCGACCCCCGGTTTTGGATTCTCAATGATAATTGGTCACCGCAGTTCCCTCCACCGAACGGTCTTCTGAGTCCCGAGTCCTCCCAACCCCTCACCAACTTCGCGTCAACATCCCTGCTATCCACCTTCCCAATACTCGTGCCTCATACACTGCCTACACCTCGAACTTATTGTCCGGCAACTAAACGCTGTATTTGTATTTGGTGACAACTGTACTTCCATGCACGAACACACACATGCACTCCTTCACTTCTAAGTTGTGAGCATGCGACTCCCAGGGAAGGTTTTTTTATGGTCCCAAGACAAGAAATTCGAAAAAGCCATGATGACAGGAAGGATCTGATTTGGTTTAGGTTATTCCCAAAACACGGGGCTGTCACTTGAGCCTTTCAATGTGTGTTGAGTGGGTGAGAAGCTTTCTAGAGAAGCAGTTAACCTTCACAAGGTGTCATGTCATGTCAGTGGGAGGGTGGTGGACGGTGCAACGACGGCCCAGAACTGTCCTGTTCCTGAGACTGCTCTTTGCGGGGGAGAGTGCCAGCAGAAGCAGCAGATGAAGCAGCAGAAGAAGAAGCAGCAGCAGGAGAAGGTGGTGCAGCAGGGTTCAACTGCCCTTGGACCCATGCTTGGGGGTCAAGGGGACAGGTCGGATGCAGAGGGGATGGGGCCCTTCCGTCTGCTGGGTCTGGTGGGGGTGGGGAAGGGGGGAGTAGGGGAAAGCGCATGTGTTCTGCATGTGCAGTCATCGGCCGTGGAGCGCAAGTGGTGGTGCTGTGCTTGTGCCACGCCACTCAACAGTGGTTGTGCGAGAAGGGTTAGCCGGTGCCTCTACTGATGTGAATGCAAGCCCTTATGTGGAAGGCAGTTTCAGCGATGGAAGGGAAAGTGTGTGTTGTGTGGGTGGGTGGGTGGGTGTGTGTGTGTGCGTGTGTGTGTGCGTGTGTGTGTGCGTGTGTGTGTGTGTGTGTGTGTGTGTGTGTGACATGTGAAGATGCAGCGGTGATTGCATGTGGCACACACGCACCTATGTGGAAGAGAGCTCCGGTTAGAGAGGGGAAGCAGTGCTGTGGCTGTGTTGGTAAAGTGCTGATGTGTGTGCAATGGGAGCTTCGTGCTTCTGGTGCGCACGCACGCACGCACGCACGCACGCATGCACGCACAGACGCACGCACGCACGCACCTATGTGAAAGAGAGCTTCAGTTATGGAAGGGAAGTGGTGCTGCAGATGGTCCCGTGCAGCCAGTGCTATGTCGTGCGCTGCTCTCACTGTCAACGATGGGTACACCTGAGTGGGGCATGAACAGAGAGGGAGAGGGCGCATGAGAGAGAGGGAAGGGAATCTAGCACACGAGGCTGGGTGATGGACGGGAAGTGGTGCTGCTGATGGTCCCGTGCTGCCAGTGCTATGTCGTGCGCTGCTGCCACTGTTAAAGATGGGTACACCTGGGGCGGGAAGGGGGGGTGAGGAAGAATGATGGGGGGAGAGTGAGGGGGAAGAGTGAGGGACGAGAGGAGGAAAGGAACCGGGAATGGAGAGCTTTTGATTTGACATAGAAGTCGACTCTGCTGCCACTGTGAGTGATGGGTCCGCCTGCGAGAGTAGAGAGAGGAACGGAGAGTTTTGAGTCGAAGATATCTTTATGAATGAACGGCATCATCGCAAGAGTTGATTCCTCTGCCATGGCCCCATGTGCCTGCCTCTTATTCCTTTAACCCTCTTTTCCCCCTTCCCCCTTTTCCCTTTACCCTCCTCCTTCCCCTCCTCCCTCACCTCTACATGCGCGTCCACATGCAGCCATGGCCCCATGCGCCTGCCTCTTTTCCACCGTCACCCCCTTCCCTAATTCTGCTCTTTTCCCCCGCTCCCCTTTCCCCCTCTCTCTCACCTCGATATGTGCGTCCACATGCAGCCATGGCCCCATGCGCCTGCCCCTCAGGTTGTGACAGCCCTGGCAGAAGGATGGGTTGGCAAAAATGGAGAACGGGGTAAGCAGAGGGCGATTAAAGGAGGAGGAGGAGGAAAGATCTCAATAATTGTATAGACGCACAGCACATCTCTCAAGTAACGGGCCGGTAAAAGCTGCACTGTCTGATTCCATCAGCACATGACAGGGAAAACTATTCTGTGAGAGTATAGACGCACGCACCAACACTCCAGCTATGTGGATTTCACTTTGAGAATTCTCAAAAGTAGAATCCACATTACTATTCTGTGGAAGTATAGACGCACGCACCAACACTCCAGGGGAAGCCAGGATTTCCGCTCTGATCGGCTCAAGAACCTTCTCGGAAACTCCCACATCCACGAGGTCTTGTATGCTGAGGGTGGAGTGATGATGGACGGCCCGCGAATGGGAGGGGAGACGAAAGAAAGAGTAGAAAAAAAGGAGTAAAAAAAACAGGTCGGATGCTTTCTGGCTGTTGCTTGCAGGTGCTTGTCGCGCCTAAGAAGGGATCAGTCAAGATAGGAAAGAAAGAAACAGGTACAGTATCCATCCACGGTCCCTTTCCCACCTCTGGTACGCAATGCTGCCGCCTGCTTTGGTGATGAGCCCAGCCACAAAGAGAGCTGCGAGTGGGTCGAGGATTGGCACTCCGGCCATTGCTCCTCCTGCCAGGCATGCATTCAGGGAAGATACGGGTGAGGGGGATATGGGTGACGGGGAATATGAGCTTTGTTTCAAACAGCACATAATGCCTCATTCCCCCTCACTCAAACTTCCCCCACTCACCTACCCAATGTCCCCACTCACCCTTCCCACACTCAATCGCCCACAAACCCTCTCTCACCCAACCACTTACCCACCCACCCACTCACCCGCTCATCCCCTCCCTCTCCACCACTTCCTTACTCCCTCCTCCCCCCCCACTCCCCCCAATCACCCACCGACGCCCAGCAGGGCAGCAAAGGAAGAAACGGAGTCGCTGCGGTGGTGCCACGCATTGGCGCGCATGAGATAATTGTTGTGAGGGTACCTTCCAGATCCCCCCTGCCCAAAACCCCCCACTCCGCCCTCCTACTCCTCCCTCTTCCCCCACTCACCCACGCCCAGCAGGGCAGCAAAGGAAGAGACAGAGTCGCTGCGGTGGTGCCACACATTGGCGCGCATGAGATGGTTGTTGAAATGGTACCCTCCATCCCCTCCCAACCCCATCCCCACCACTCCACTTCCCCCTACCCCTCCCCCTCTGTCCCCAATCACCCACCGACGCCCAGCAGAGCGGCGAAGGACGAGACGGAGTCGCTGCGGTGGTGCCACGCATTGGCGCGCATGAGATGGTTGTCGTAACGATCCGCCACCCACTTGGTCGCCCAGTACAGGCTGGCAACGGAAGCAGGAGAATAAAAGGGTGGGGACAGACGAGAAAGCGGGGAGGTGGGTGCGTGATTGGCCTCGAGTTGGCCGCATGAGATGGTTGTCATATCGATCTGCCACCCACTTGGTAGCCCAATACAGGCTGGCATGAAAGGGGGGATGTGGGGAGGGTAAGAAAAAGAAACCAGGTAAAGTGGAGAAAAAAGAATCAGCTGGGTGGATGGATCAGGTAGTTACTGTCTGATACTACGTATGTATCTATGGCTCCGCTCCGCCACCCACTTGGTAGCCTGATAACAGAGCTTGATACAGACTGCCTTCCTGGGACCTGAACCTCAGAGCAAGGGAACACACAGACTGACCTCCCTTTGAGCCCTATGGATGCCACTGCTGCTGCAAGCCGTGTTTTGAGTCAACTCGAAACAGGTGTTTTGTCTTGAGTCAACTCAAAACACGAGTTGACTCAAAGCGAAGGCTCACCTCTCATTGAGCCATATGGATGCCACTGCTGCTGCAAGTGCCACCAATGGCAAGTACTCCTCCCCTCCCGCCACAATTTTAAGTCGGTTCAACAAGTCACCTATTCACACAGCAGGCTCACCTCTCTTTGAGCCCTATGGATGCCACTGCTGCTGCTAGCGCCAACGGCATGTACTCTTGCCCTCCCGCCACATGCCCAAGAATTCCATGCCCATGCCCATGCCCATGCCCATGCGCATGCCCATGCCCATGCCCAAGCCCCACTGCCCCTGCTGCTCCCCCTCCTCCCCCTCCTACCCCTTCCACCCCTCCTCCTCCTACTGCTCCTGCCAAGCCAGCAGCATCGCCAGCAGCTGCTGTACCGGCACCCGCACCACCTCCCACCAGAGAAGAAGCGTCAGATGAGAGGAGATGATGCAGGTCGAGAGAGGCAGGCAGGAAGTCCTGTAGCAGGTGCAGCGCGTGCCATGCCATGCCACCTCCCGTGCCGATCAGGAGAAGTGACACGCCCAATGCCCCCACTGTTTCGAATTTTCCATGGCCTGCAGAGGAAACCAGCAGGGGAGAGGAGAGAGGAGGAGGAGGGAGGAGCGGAGAGGAAGGGAGGGGAGGGGAGGGGAGAGGAGTGAAGAGGAGGAAGCAGCGTCAGATGAGAGGAGATGATGCAGGTCGAAAGAAGAAGGCAGGAAGTCCTGCAGAAGGTGCAGCGCGTGCCATGCCATGCCTCCTCCCGTGCCGATCAGGAGTAGAGACACACCCAACGACCCCACTGTCTCAAACTTGCCGTGGCCTGCAGAGGCAAGACAGCAGGAGGAGAGGAGAGCAGGGGAGATGCAAGACGGTGAGGAGGTGGGATGGACGAGCAAGGGCAAGACAGGACCCGATTCAGCAGGACAGGAGAGGAGATGAACGAGAAAAAAGGAGTGAGGAGAAGCGAAAGGAAGAGAATAGATGGAAGTATCTGAGGCAGCAGGGAATGATTGGGAGCGGGCATCGTGTGACATAGGGGGAAGACAGTCAGGTGACTATAGGGGGTAAGGAAGGCGAAAGGAGGCGAGGGGAGGGGACGCGGGGGAAGGGGAGGGGAGTAAAGATGGCTGAATAATCTGACTCACCGTAGGGGTGTGTTTTGAGTCGACTCAAAACACGACTCACCGTATTGGTGATTCGCATCCCGGGGAACCGAGGCTGCTTGCACGTGGGAGGGGCCAGAGAGTTGCCCAGCTTGGCTGCTGTTCTGAGGCGCCTCAAATCTCAGGGGCGGCTCAGCGATGCACTCACCGTAGGGGTGATTCGCATCCCGGGGAACAGAAGCTGCCTGCACGGACCAGAGTGTTGCCCAGCTGAGCACCTGACGCCATGGCAGAGATGGGTGCGGATGGGTAGAGATGGGTACGGATATATAGGGATGGAAGTTACGCACCCTTACCATGCACCCAGGTATTGAACCCGTATCATGCACCCATACCAACTTCCCAGAACATGCCCCCAGACCATGCCCCCATGACACGCCCCTGTGAACCTGCAGCACCCATACCCTGCACCCATACCCTGCACCCATGCGAAGCTGACCCTTACCACATCGGACACGGAGTGGGCGGCATCAGCAATGATGGCAGCGCTACCAGACAGCCACCCAGCCACGCCCTTAATCCCCGTCAACCCCACGTCCGCCCAGAACCCCACGCGCGTTATTGCCTCCGCCTCCTTGCGCCCTCCCCCTCCGCCTCCCCCTCCGCCTCCCCCTCCGCCTCCCCCTCCTCCTGCTCCTCCTGTTTTATCAACTTTCTCACCATTCTTCCCACCATGCCCATGCCCATGCCCATGCCCGTGCCCATGCCCGTGCCCGTGCCCGAAGCCCATGTGTGTGCGGCAGCTTCCAGGAAGAATCCAGAAACCAGGCGGAGGGGAGGTGACGTGAATTAGAGGAATGGAGCGTGATGAGTGGAAAGCGAGAGTAGATAGGGGAGCGTGAGAAGCAAGATTAGCGTCAGAAGCAAGGGCAGAGGGAGAAGATAGGGAGAAGAGGGAAGCAAAGGAAGTGTACGAGGCAAATGAGCGAACGAAGGGGGTTTTGTGGCCTTGTGAGGGAAGTATGGCGGTAGAGGGGAGTAGTGTGGGCATGATGGGAATGATGGGGATTGTGGGGCTGGAGTCAAGTTGTTGTGCTGTATGGATGTGAGGGGGATGGGGAGGGTATGCGGAAGGTGTGAGCGTGTGAGGGCCGTGATGTATGACTACGGGGTTGGTGCTGCAGCTGCTGCTGCTGCAGGCGCGGCTGCCAGTGCTGCTAATGCTTCCAACATCGAAGACTTTGCTGTTACTGCCTCTTTTGCCTCTGCTTCTGCTGCTGCTGCTTCTGTCACTGCCCAACCTTCGGCGTAGAAGCGAGGAGAGAACCTCTCGTCCCCGAGCCATCGCGACGGCTTGCGCTCGGAACCAGAGTTGCTCAGATTCTTTCAGATTCTCACTGCTGTGACTGCCCTCCCCCTCCCCCCGCCCCCTGCCCGTAAAATTTTTGGATTCTCTGCCTTCCGACGGCTGGCGCAGGAACGCTGGCGCGCCAAAAAGGGGAGCGGGGACGACTGACGCGCCGAAAGGCGCGGGGAAGGGCCTGCCCCTCGAGAGTAGCGCGGCTTTGCGACCCAGAGCCGGAGCGCGTCTAGGGGAAAACGCGTGCAACTGTGTGACGGTCGGTGTGTATGCTTCAACGGACAGCTGGAACTGTGTGACTGTACGCCGCGCTATGCCTCGCGGTACGAGAGATGCGATCTTGCGACGGGAGCGAGGCTCGGAGGACTGGTTCGGATCGGGTGACGGACTGGGCGACGGAATTGGGCGACGGAGTTGGGCGACGTACTTGGGCGAGTCGATCGGTAGACGGAATTCGGCGACGGAATTCTTAAAAAACTACGGATTTCTTTGGGTGGAGGGGAGGAGAGGAAAGACGGCGCATGCTAGCACGACTGCGACGAGTAGCGACTGACTGAGACGCCTTGGGATGTGGCTGGAGGCTGGGGTGTGCCACGATGTTTGTTGGTTCATGCAGTTGCGGGAAATGTGCACCCCGAGTTTTCCCCGACATTAGCCACGAACTCGATACAGTGCTAAGGAAAATGTTGGGTCCACATGATTAAATTGTCGAGTCTTATCTCGAAAAAATCAATGATGTCAACAAGCTTGACCATGTCCTCATATCTAACTAGTATCCTACTTATCTCCATTCCCCTCTTGTGCCCGTGCGATCTCCCTATATCTCCCTCCCATGGCATCCAAAACCCTGATCCACATCCGTTCATTCACCTCTTTCGCCTTCTGAAACACGCCCGCCATCCCGCCTTTATCAGACGCCTTACCTCCACCACTGGCCCCTGATCTCGCTTCCACCTCCTCCGACCACTCAGTCGGCCATCTAATCATCTCCGGCTCGCACTGTGCAACATACCACCACCCGTTCTTAATCTCGTCTTCAAGCTGCTTCGCCCCCCAGCTCGACACTCCTAGAAAGAACCAAAACTCCTCAGGGAACGTCATACCAGCGTCAATCAACCCTACGGCGCGCACAAGCGGCGCCATGGTTCCCCAATAAACCCCCCGAAGCACCTCTTCGAACCCCGCGAAGGACGAGCGGCGTGTGAGGGCTGCGAAGGCGCTAGTGGGGTTGATCACCGGGCCGCCGAGGGAGAGCGGTGCGGAGGAGACGCGTGAGAGCAGCCAGTCTTGCACGCCGGAGACGAATTTCCAGGAGAGCGGGCGGTTGAGGACGAGACCGATGGGGCCGGAGTCGTTGAGAGAGAGCATTAGCACGACCGTGCGCTCAAACATCTGCACGGAAAGGGTGCGGGAGGGGAGGTAAGGAAGGGGAGGTAAGGAAGGGGAGTGTTGAGGTGCCTCGAAGAGCGGGCGGTTGAGGACGAGGTTGACGGGGCCAGAGTCGTTGAGAGAGAGCATTAGCACGACTGTGCGCTCAAACATCTACAGGGGAAAAGGAGGGGTGATGGGAAGGAAGAAAGGGGGATCTTCAGGAAGGGGGATTTTGAGGTTGAGGAGGGTTGCATTGAGTTGTGTTGTGTGGTGTGTGTTGTGTGATATGTGTGTGGAGAAAAAGACACCAGAAAACAAGTGTACGTGCACATGGCATGCGCAGGGAACAGACTTACAGGGGAGTTGATGAGGTCCTCTGAAGCAACAAGGAAGAATCTGGTTTTTGAGAAATTTAAAAAACGCGAGCTTGTTTTTTGAGAACTCTAGAGAACCAAACTCACAGGGGAGTTGATGAGGTCCTCGGAAGCAACAAGGAAGGATCCTGCAGTCGGCTTGTCCACAGCCACACACTGACGTGCCTCCCCACTGCTTCCCACACCTCCCGCTCCACTCCCCTCGCTAGCGCCGCCTCTCTCAACGTTATCCACCTCTGAAGCTTGCTGCAGACGCCTTAAAGCCTCTTCACTGCCGCTGCTGCTGCTGCTGCTGCTGCTACTGGCAGCTTTCTGAACATGCCTATGATAATGTGGTTCAGCAGCAGCAGGCTGTTGCGAGGCAGTGGTGTGGGCTGGCCCAGAGGTGGTGCCGCCAGGGTGTGTTGGAGCCGTATCAGCAGGGGAGGGAGAAGGTAGAGCACCAGACGAAGCGACACCACCAGCAGCAGCAACAGCGCCAGTGTGGGTGGAAGCAGGGTCTGAAATAGGAGGAGGAGATGGAGACAGATTTCCTTCATCTTGTGATTCACCCTCTAAGTGCGGAACTCCATTCCTCCCTTCGCCACTCTCTGTCTCACCCCGCCCCTCCCTCCCATCCTCCTCCTCGCCCTCCTCCTTGGGAACACTCTGTCCGCCCACATGCTCCTCCTTCTCTTCAGCTTCCACCCCTTTCTCTGCTTCCTCCTCCTCTTCTTCCTCCTCTCCAACTTCTCCTTCGTTTCCTCCGTCTTCCTGATCCGCAGCCCCCTTTTCCTCTGCTGCTTCTCCGGCCGCTCTCTGCCTCTCCCCACCCATCCCAACCGCTCCCTCTGCCAATGCAGACTTGCTGTCTTGGGTGAGCGGCTGGTGTGGCCACAATGCCCCACCAGCCATGGTAGGCCGTTCGCGTGTGGCTAGGAGGACTGCAGGAGGTGGGGATAAGGAGAGAAACAGAGAGACTTGCTGCATTGGGTGAGCGGCTGGTGTGGCCAGAATGCCCCACCCACCATGGTGGGGCGTTCCCGTGTGGCTAGTAGAACTGAAGGAGGCGGACGAAACGGGGGGAACAAAGAGATTTGCTGTCTGGGTGAGCGGCTGGTGTGGCCACGATGCCGCACCCACCATGGTGGGGCGTTCGCGTGTGGCTAGTAGGACTGGGGAGGAAGGAGGAGGGGAGGGAAGAGGAGGGGAGGAAACGGAGAGATTCTTGAGTGAACTTATTGACCCGTGTGTTTCCGTGTGGTTAGCAGGACAGGAGAGGAGAGGGGATGGAGGGTAGGAAAGGGTAAGGGAGAGGAGGGGAGGGGAGGCAAGAGGAGGTGAACAGAAGGGAAAGAAGAGTGTGTTTACAAAAACGAACCTAGCCCAATCACACTTCTCACGAGGATCATGTGGGTGCTACCTTTCCCTACAATCACACTACTCAGGGAACAACGCTGAGTCTACCCCCCCACACCTTTCCCCTTTCCGCCTCCCTTCCTGCACTTGCCTTGTAAGATTCGAGATGAAGCGGCGTGGGGGAGGGTGGTGTGGTTGAGCAGGAAAGCAATGAAGGGACGCACTGCGTGTGGACCTCTGTACATCACAGGCACACTCTCTATCTTCTCCTTCTCCCCTCACTCCCTATATTCCACTAACCATTTAGGATTTGAGTGGCAGCAGCGGGGGAGGGGGGGGGGAGCGGTGTGGTTGAGCAGGAAAGCAATGAAGGGACACACAGCATGTGGACCTCTGCACATCACCGATACACTCTCATCTTCTCCCTTCTCGCCCTGCCTTGCCCCTTCCCTGCACATACCTTGTAAGATTCGCGAGGCAGCGGCAGGCGGGAGAGCGGTGTGGTTGAGGAGGAAAGCAATGAGGGGGCGCACTGCGTGTGGACCTCTGTACATCACAGGGACACTCGCATCCTTCTCCCTTGCTGCTCCTTTCCCCTCCGCATAACCCTCTTCGTCCTCCTCCTCATCCTCCTCCTCTCCCTCACTCTCGTCGTCCTCCTCCTCTTCCGCTTCCTCCTCCTTGTCCCCTTCTTCTTTCCCCACATTCCGCCGCTCTATTGCCTCCTCTCGTGCCTCGCTCGCCTCCTCTGTATCCCTCACTCCCTTCTCTTCATTGCTCCGGGATCCCTTCACCACCTCCCCTTGTTCCCCACCCCCAGCAGCAGAAACAGCAGCAGCGGCAGCAGCACGTACGGCAGGTGTGGTGGAATTCGAATGGTTCGGCGCATCAGCAGGAGGATGGGTGGGTGCAGAAGAAGAAGGAGAAGACAAGACAGTGTTGTTTGCTGGAAGGGTGCTGGTGGTGGTGGTGCTTGCAATGGGTGGCGGGAATGTTGGCAGAGGAGGGATGAGAGCAACCACAGGGAAGGCTGTGATCTGCAGAACACAGGGAGGAGGGAGGAGAGAGGCGGGAGGAGAGAGGCGGGAGGAGAGAGGAGGGAGGAGGGTGGCAGGAGGAGGGAGCAGGGAGGAAAGAGAATAAGGGTTTTGACGAAATGAGGGTGAAGGGTAAACATGAGCAAGTGGAAGAATGGAGGCATGGCGAGAAGGAGGGCTGATTGAAGGATTGGGCCTTGTACGAAAGCATGTCTGTGTTTGACATTTGAGTCGCCTCAGAGTTAAGTTCTTTTTCGGGTTAGTCTCAAGTCTCAAAAAACAGTGTACAGGACAACTCGCCCACCTGCTGTTGCAGGCGGCTCTTGAACAGACTTAAAGCTGCCCTCCAAGCTACGGCACGTTTACCTACCAGTTTCTGAAACGACTCTAGATCCTCAAGTTAAGGCCCGCTCACTCACCTGCCAGTACGGCAAGGGCACATCGTGACAGTCGTTCACAGAGCAGTCGCTCAGTTTCAGACGGCTCAACCTCAAGCCTTCTGAGCAGCCTCTCGTAGGCACTGTGCTTTTTTTAGAATTCTCAAGAAATGTGAGGTGACGCTTGCTTGCTTGCTCACTCACTCACCTGCCAGTAGGGCAAGAGCACATCGTGACACTCGTTCACAGAGCAGTCGATTTGCAGCAGACGAGGCAGGTGCGACAGCCACGATTGCACATCCACATTCGCTTCCCCCTCCTCCACCCCCGTCTCCCCCTCCACCCTTTTCTCTTTCTCCTTTTCCTCCTCTTTCTCCTCTGAACGTGCTGCCTCCCCACTGGTTCTCCTCCCATCATTGCCGTGTAGACCAATCCCAGCACTAAAAGCTGCAGCTGCTCCTGCCACTGGCTCTGTTCGTCTTTCAGTCGATGTTCTTCTGCTGCTGCTGCTGCTGCTGCTTCTTCTGCTGCTGCCGGTGCTGTTGCTGCTGCTGCTCTTGCTGCTGTTCTGTTGGCACTGATGCGTGAATGGCTGCAAATTCATGTAAAAGAAACAAATAAAAAGCATAAAAAAAAAGCCATTGTCAAGCTTCCGTAAAGTTGCACAGTGAGAGAGAGTGCTTACTTCAAACTCGCCACACCAAATGCTCGACACGAGTTGATTGTGGGTGTGAGACTGAAGCGCAAACAGCCACACAGTTAGGTTTGTCTTGCGCATCTCAAAGCAAGACCCTTCATAGCCTCACCTGGCTGCCGAACGTGAGACAACTGTGCAGAACGATGGCTCACTTTTGAGGCGCCTCAAAAGTCACCTCGCTGCCGAACGTGAGATAACTGAGCAAAACGACGGCTCACAACCTGGCTCGACTTAAACATCTCAAAACTGGATCCAGCAGGGCTTTCTCAACAGATGGAGCACCTACAGGACTAGTTGGTTGGACCTTGAGAGCCCTCACCAATCAGCTAGCCTCACACTGACCTGCTGGGAGCATGAGCAGCGCGCGGTGGGCCTCTCTGAACGCGAGCTCGATGCGCCGGCAGAAGCCACACCAAGGGGTGGTGAGCAGTAGCGCAAGGGGCCGCGGGTCCACCTGATAAGAATCAGCAGCTGCTGCAGCAGGAGCAGCAGGAGAAGCAGCACCAGTGTTTTGTGCATGCACTTGCTGCTCCTGCTGCTGCTCTTGCTTCTGATGCTGCTGCTTTTGCTCCTGCTCCTTCTCTTGCTGCTGCTCCTCCTGCTTCTGCATCTGCTGCTGCTGCTGGTTCCCTGGCTCCTCCTTTCCTCCACCATCCCCACTCCCGGCTTCCTCCCTCGACTCTGTCTGTTGCTGTTTCACCTCCCTCCGCCACCTCCTCTGCTGCCGCACCACCCGCCGCTGCTCCCGCACCCACCGCTGCTGCTGCCGCCACCGCCGCCACTTCCCCATCACCCGCTCATACTCCCCCCGGCGCTCCCTCAGCAGGTCAATCAAATCCCGTGCACACACCCTCTCCACCCCCTCAATCTCCCGGAAATCCGTGTTGAGAAACGGAACAGGGGGAGTGTGGCGGGGGGGAGGGGGGCGTGGGGAGGAGCGGGAGGATCGCTGCACGCGGCCCTGTAAGATTGCGCGGAGGAAGGAGAGGAGGGATGCTGCGTCTGTGGGTGTGCCAGGGTAGAGGAAGACTGAGTCTTGAGAGGGGTGGAGCACAGCGAGAGCAGGGAGGTCGGCAGAGCGTGGGGGAGAGGGAGAGGAAGCGGGCGAGGAGGCTGAAGGAGGAGAAGGAGAAGGAGAAGAGGGGGAAGAGGGGGACGAGGGGGAAGAGGAAACGTTGGAGGAGGAGGAGGAGGAGGGGGGATTAGAGGGAGGTTCATGCGAGGTCAATTGCGGGATGAGTCGGTCCCTTAGAGCGTCATCCCGGTCCACAATGAAGAATGAGAAGGGCAAATCGTCTATCCACTTCTCCTCCGCCTCTGGACCCATTAGATCCTCCCACTCCACTGCATGCGCATCATTCCCCTCGGTACTCTCACTCTCCATCTCGCTCTCACTCCCTCTCTCACTCGCTTTCTCCCTCTCACTCTCCCTCTCCCCCTCAGCACTCTCACTCTCCCTCTCACTTTCATTCTCCCTCTCCCTCTCGCTCTCGCCCTCGCTCTCACTCTCACTCCCACTCTCGCTCTCCGTCTCCCTCTCATTCTCACCCTCCCTCTCCTTCGCCCTCCCATTCTCTGCTTCGCCACTGGCAGGAACGGCACCAGTGTCAGCACTCGCAGCAGCAGAAGTACCACCACCACCACCAGCAGCACCAGCACCAGCACCAGCAGCAGCAGCACCACCACCAGCAGCAGCAGCAGCAGCAGTAGAAGCAGCAGTGTCAGCTTGAGTTACCCCTTCTGGATCATCAGCCCCTGCTTGCGAAAACTGTTGCAGTGGACGACACATACCCTCGCTACTTTCCTCCTCCCCCATCCTACACTTTGCTTCTGCCTCCTCCTCTTTTTCCTCCTCCTGCTCCTCCCTGACCGCCTCACTCTTGTCTCCCTGCCTTCCCTTCCCATCACTCACCACATTCAAATCGTTGAAAGCCACCCTAATTTCGTTACTGCTACCGCCACTATCCGCCTCATCAGCCGCTTTCACATTCTCAGCCTTCTCCTTGATCTCCCTATTCCCATCATCAGCCTCTTTATTCCCACCTTCAGCCTGCCCATCCTTCTCCTCCATAATCTCCCTCTTCCCATAATCATCATCAATGGGTTGCACCCACTGCTTTCCCTCCTGCTGGCCCCCCTCTTTCTGCACCAGTGCTTCCTGCAGCAGCAGCCGCACCTGCTGCTGCACCGTTCCTCCCTCTGCCTCCCCTTCTTGTTGCACCTGTGCATCTTGTTTCCCCTCTCTCTCTTGCTGAATTTCTCTCTCTTGCCGAATCTCTCCCTCTTGCTGAATCTCCCCCTCTTGCTGAATCTCTCCCTCTTGCTGAATCTCCCCCTCTTGCTGAATCTCTCCCTCTTGCTGAATCTCCCCCTCTTGCTGAATCTCTCCCTCTTGCTGAATCTCTCCCTCTTGCTGAATCTCCCCCTCTTGCTGAATCTCTCCCTCTTGCTGAATCTCTCCCTCTTGCTGAATCTCTCCCTCTTGCTGAATCTCTCCCTCTTGCTGAATCTCCCCCTCTTGCTGAATCTCTCCCTCTTGCTGAATCTCCCCCTCTTGCTGAATCTCTCCCTCTTGCTGAATCTCTCCCTCTTGCTGAATCTCTCCCTCTTGCTGAATCTCTCCCTCTTGCTGAATCTCCCCCTCTTGCTGAATCTCCCCCTCTTGCTGAATCTCTCCCTCTTGCTGAATCTCCCCCTCTTGCTGAATCTCTCCCTCTTGCTGAATCTCTCCCTCTTGCTGAATCTCTCCCTCTTGCTGAATCTCTCCCTCTTGCTGAATCTCTCCCTCTTGCTGAATCTCTCCCTCTTGCTGAATCTCTCCCTCTTGCTGAATCTCTCCCTCTTGCTGCAGCTCTCCTTGTTGCTGCATCTGCCTCTGTTGTTGCATGGCGGCTCGAATCACTGACCCCAGATCACCAGCTGCAAGCTCTTGTGGACCCAACTGTATCGTCACTACGTGTTGTTGCTGCTGCTGCAGTAGTTGCACCTGCGCTCCTTGATCTGCCTGCTGCCCTTTCCGCACCTGCTGCACAATCCCCCCATGCCCTTTCTCCTTCTCGTTTTTGCTGCTGCTGCTGCTGCTGCTGCAACTGCTGCTGAAGCGCAGCACCCATACCTTGCAGCCCTCCTTGTTGCAACGCGCGTTGCAGCACCTGCAGAAGCCTAGCATCCGCCCTCACAACACCTCCGCCTCCTGCCCCCGCCCCTGCTGCCCCTCCCCCATCTCCCTGCACCACATCACCCTCCTGCTTGTCCACCACCCTTATTTCTCCACCTCCCCCTTCGCTTCCTCTTCCTGATGCCCTTTCTCCACCTGTTCCTCTTGCATGGAGAGTCGAAGCAGACTTGGCTGCATCAGCAGCAGCATCTTGTGCAGCAGAAGCAGTGTGATCAGCGCCTGAGGCAGCGGAAGCACGTTTCCTCATTTGTGCTGCTGCAGCCTCGGCTACAGCTGCTGCCCGTCGCTTCACCTCTTCCTCTCGTGCAAACACCCGTGCGACTCTCAGAAGAGCGTCAGCAGCAGCAACAGTTGCTGCTCCTGCTGCTTCTGCTTCTGCTGCTAATGCTGCTGCTGCCGCTGCCGCTGGTGCAGTTGCTGATGTTGCTGGTGCTGCTTCATTGTCAACTGTGGCGGTGGTTGTGGTGGTTGCTGCTGCTGCTTCTGGCGCTGCTGCTTTGGCTGCTGATGCTGCTGAAACAGTCGAGAACGAGGAGGAGGAAGATTTGGGAGTGGTGGGAAGAGAGGCAGGTATGGAGGAGTCTAGGAATAGGAGCACAGATGGCCGTTTCGAGTTGAAAGATGAGCTGTAGGCGTCTGGGGAAACCTGGACGGGAACACAATGGATTCAACGGAAGAGAATGTGGAGAGAGGAATTAAACAGACAGCTGTTTCGAGTTGAAAGATGAGGTGTGGCGTCTGGGGAAACCTGGACGGGAACACAACAGATTCGATAAAAGAGAATGTGGAGAGCGCTTAATCAGACAGCTGTTTAGATTTGAAAGATGAGCTGCAGGCGTCTGGAGTGACCTGGACAGGAACACAGGAACACAACAGGTTTAACAAAAGCAAATGCAATGGGTGGAATGGAGACTTGAAGAGGGCTACACAGCAATACAGCAGCAAAACGACATGTGTGAAAGAGGGGGCAAGAGAGAGGCTGCACCCAGCCCGCATGCACGCAAGAACGAACCCTGTGCAGAAGGAACAGCGGATCACGCAACAAGCAGGAAGCAGCACAAGGATGCGAGCCGTAACAAGCAGCAGTTTAAGAACGGCTTCCGCATCAACTGAAGCTGCTCAAGAACCAGCGCCTCTTGTTGAGAAACAAGCAGCAATGCTCCTTCCGCTTGAAGGCCCTTGTCAACAAGAGCACGCCTTCTAATGCGCCCACACAAGACCCTCAACAGAATTTTCCAAGAGCTAACCCAGCCCAGCATACCTCTTGAACAAGAGGGCGGGGAAGGCTCTGCATCCAGTCTTCTACGGACAGCCTCTCTCCGGATTGCTGCGGTTCCGCTGGCCATGGGTATTCAAACCACCCTCGCGCCCTCCCCACGTTCTCCACTTTAGCCCCTGGATGTTTTTCACGTTTTTCTCTCTTCTGCTGACCTTGCTGCTGCTTCTCCTGATGTTCTCCCTCCTGCTTTTCCTCCTGAAATCGCTTCTGCTGTCCCTTCTGCTGTTCCTCCTCTTCCTGCTTCTGTTGCTGCTCCTCACTTCCTTGTCTCTCCAGCTGTTGAGTGTCTGCTTCCTCTCCGCTGCCGCTTCCTCTCGCCATCATACCACCACCATCATCACCACCATCGTCCTTCTTTCTTTCACGCCCCTCCTCACCTCTTCTCCCTGACACCTCTCGGCTCACATACATTTCCCTCCCCCCTCCCTCCACTATCCCACCCCTCTCTCCACCCTCCTCCCAACCATCCCCACGCTCTGTTTCCTCCCCCTCTCCACCACTCCCCAACCCCTCACTCTCCCCATCCCATCCGTCGATATCCCTCCCTCTTCTTACAAATGCCGTCAATCGCCACCCAAGTTCCCCCACGCCCCCACCCACCACTGCCCCAGCTGCCCTTCCTGTTGCAGCTGCTGCACCAGCAGAAGTATTACCACCACCACCGCCAGCACCGCCACTAGCGGCAGCAGCAGCACCAGCACCAGCAGCACCACTACCAGTAAAAGCATCATTTGCTCCCATCCGCATTGCATCAAAAACCTCCTCCACGCTCTCCCCACTCCCGTTCCCCTCCTCCCACCCATCCACCTTCCCCAGCACCTGTGCAGCAAGCAATGGGTCTGATACAAGCACAACCACAGCCTGGGAAGGAGTCAGAGCGTTCCCCTGCACCACTGACTTCAACTCTCCCACCACTCGCTTCAACTCCTTCCGCGCATGCTCGCTCCCACACTCCACCCACCCTGACAGTGCCGCCGCGGATTTAGCTCCTGCTGACGATGCTGATGATAATGGCAAAGGTGATGGTGACGCTCCTTCCTCCTTTGATTGCTTCTGAAGCTCCCCCTCTTTCGAGTTCTTCTCTGAAGCTTCCGTTGGTCGATCCTCAGAGGTGCCTTTAGAAACTTCCTCTGAAGGTTCCTTTAAAGGTTCCTCCAGCCGTTCATCTTGCGTCTCCCCTGCCCTCTTCTCTCCTGCACCCTTTGGCCTATCATCGACGTCGCTTACTAACTTGTTTACTGCCCTATTCTCTCCTGCAGGCCCCTCAGCAGTAGCAGCAACCCTACCATGGGAGCTCTCCCCACCGTTGCTTCTCACCACACCTTGCTCCGAGCCTTGCCCCAGGCCTTGCTCTGAACCCTGCTCCGAGCCATTTCCCGGACCTTGCTCCGGACCTTGTTCCGAGCCTTGTTTTGAGCGTTGTTCCAAGCCTTGCTCTGAGTGCTCCTCTTCCCCTTTGCCTTGCTGTATGGCGCACTGCCTTAAAGCAGGTGCTTCCTGCGGTGGTGGTGGTGACGATAATGCCCCATCACCCACGCCAGCCTCACAAACGGGCCCCTTGTTACTCACAGCCACAATTCCCTCCCCCCTGCTCTCCTCCCCCTTCCTCTCCTTACCCCTGCTCTCCTCCCCCCTGCTTTCTTCCCCCCTTATCTCCTCCTTCCTGCTAACCTTGCCCATTCTCCCTTCCATCCCCCCCTCCTCTCCCTCCTCCTCATCCCCTTTCTCCTCCCTCCTCCCTTCCTGCTCCGAACCCCCCTCCCTCCTCTCCCCCTTCCCCTCACCCGCACCACGCGCCCCATCCCCAAAAAACTCCTCATACCACCCGCACCGCTCCACAAGTGCCAGCACCACTCTCGACCCATTCCCAACCCGCACCAACTCCTCCCAGCTCCCCACCCGTCTCAACGGCAACCACTCCTCCTGAATCGCCATCCCACGCGCCGCAGCCTGCAGCACATGCCGTGCTGTGAGCGGTCCGCGGTAGATAAAGCTGCTCCCGGCGCGGAAGAGGTGGACAGCCGGGAGGGAGAGGTCTTTGTTGGCCATGAACTCCTTCTCGCGCTGGTAGTTGATCCACCGCAGAGCAAGCGGGTGCGGCGGGGCCGTGACTATAGCGGGCGCTGACCCGCTGTCTATAGCGAGTTTGATCTCCTTCATTAGCCGCTGGGAGGCGCCACACCCTGGGGGGGTTTGGGTGGGGGGAGGGAGGGGGGAGGGAGGGGGGAGGGAGGGGGGAGGGAGGGGGGAGGGGGGGAAGGGAGGACAGGAAGAGTGGAAACGGAGGCAGGGTTGCTGAGGCGCCTCTAACAAAAGTCCTTTCATCAGATGAAGGTGCTCCCGGCGCGGAAGAGGTGGACGGCCGGGAGGGAGAGGTCTTTGTTGGCCATGAACTCCTTCTCGCGCTGGTAGTTGATCCACCGCAGCGCCAGAGGGTGCGGCGGGGCCGTGACTATAGCGGGCGCTGACCCGCTGTCTATAGCGAGCTTGATCTCCTTCATTAGACGCTGGGAGGCGCCACACCCTGGAGGGAAGGGGGGGGGGGGAGGGGGGGAAGGGGGGACATTTGCTGGTCATAGGAGAACCGACTCATCAGCTCCCACCACGGTGACTTTTGAGTCGACTCAAAAGTCACACACACTCCCCTCCCACCCTATCCACCACACACATAGGGGCACGGACTCACAAGGCACGGTGATGACACAGAGTATGTAGTGATTAGCTGACAGTTGCTGGTCATAAGAGAACCGGTTCATCAGCTCCCACCGCCCTGCTGCTGCTGCCGCTGATGCCGATGCTGCTGCTGCTGCCTTTGCCTTGGTGCGCTGGGGTCGGGACCGGGAGGGTGGGGATGCAGAGGAGGAGGAGGAGGAGGAGGAGGAGGAGGAGGAGGAGGAGGAGGAGGAGGAGGAGGAGGAGGAGGAGGAGGAGGAGGAGGAGGAGGAGGAGGAGGAGGAGGAGGAGGAGGAGGAGGAGGAGGAGGAGGAGGAGGAGATAGTGGTGGTGGTAGAAGATGAGCTGGGAGGGGAAGAGCAGGAGGAATCTGAATGGGATGAAGAAGCGAGTGAGGGAGATGGGGAATCGGAGTGACTCCAGGAAGAAGGACAGACAGGGGGAGGGGAAGGAGAAGAGGGAGGAGAGGGAGGCGAGGGAGGGGAGTGGGTTGATGGAACAATGGCAGCGGGAAGTGGACCTTGATGAGAGGAGTGGGAGGAAGAATCTGGGGTTGAGTGCAGAGAGGATGGATGAGAGGATGGGAGTTCAGGGGATGGTGATGGTGCCAGTTCTTGTAATGGTGATGGTGCCAGGTATCGTAGTGGTGATGGTGATGAGGGGGATGCTGCTGCTGCTGGGGGAAGGCTGGGAGGTGCAGAAGCCAGGGGGGCAACTTCAGAAGACGCTTGCAACAAATTGTCTCTGCTGTCTGTTGATTCTCCCCCATCCATGCGGCTGTTGCTGCTGCTGCTACTACTAGCAGTGCTCTGATGGTGGCTGCTGCTGCTACTGGCCTCTTCATGTGTCTCTCCCATCACAAGCAAGCTGTGACTTGACCATGGGACGAGAACGAGGATCAGGAGGAGAATGTGTAGAATGGGCATCCGGGGAAGAGGTAGAATCCGAGTTCGGTTACAAGGAGTGGATGCAGCTGTTCTAGAACCACCACCATTACACGGACTGCTACAGGCACTGATAAAAGAACTGTCCCCAGCGCCGTCGCCAGCACGGTTACCAGCACTGGTTAGACCAGCACTTTGACCTATCCAAGGCTTGTACCCTCTATAAGCAGGCGCAATTTTGTGCCCAACAAGCCCTGATGCGTGGCCAGGTGCTTTACTGTTGGTATAAGAGCATGAGAGTGAAGGAGAGGAGGAGTGCTGGCTTCGCCTGCTGCTACCTCCACAATTGTTGTCACATGCAGCCCCCGTGCTGCTGCGGCTAATTGTGCCCATCTGGCTGCTGCTGCTGCTGCTCCTGCTGCTACCGCTATTGCCGACAGTGCTAGCGCTATCGCTGCTACTTCTCTGGCTCCTGCGTGAATTGGCTCCTCCGGTCATCATCCCAACGTTGCGCCCTCCCCCACGTCACCCTGCCGCCCGCAATCCGAGTCCGATTGAAGCACGCACCTCAATCACTACACGTCATGCGATCACATCTTCTTGCGTCGGATGCAGTCCTGTTCTACGCGCTCGAAACGCGCTCGGCGCGCTTCTCGAAGTATTCCCCCCTATGCGATCAAATCTCCTCCTTCCCCCTGCTCGCTCTCACCACTAGGAAATCACAAGCCTTTGAATGTTATATTCGGAAGTAACAGACTCACGAGCTAGTGGGACTAAGCGCGATGTGATGGAAACGTCATGAATTGATCCCGCGTGACAATCCCGGCTAAAAGCTGCTGCTTCCCCACTGAGCCGTACCGTAACTCCTGTCCCTTTCGAGTGCGCGCAACTGTGTGGTTACCAAGTCACCACGTGGCGATCACGCAATCGCACGGCTTTTTTCCCCGAAAATCAGCTTCGAGACTCCGCTATAAACAATCTCGTTGATAATGAATCTTTCTGTCTCTCGAACTCGAGCACGAATTTCGTCGTTACGGCCTTCGCACACGTTCCCACAGTTCGTGCCGAACGCAGAACGCGCTCCTGCTCCGCGCACAAAACTAACCAACGGCTAGTAAGTTACGGCATGGCTTTTGGTGAGATGAGCGCTTCGGATTCAGGTTACAGGTCACGCAAAAGACCAATCTGGTCTTGGATTAGCAGATTCATGCCTTGGGCTTGGGCTTGCCTTGGGATCTGTTTGGAGGGCGGGCGGTTAGTTGGCAAGGTGCACAAATGAAAGGTGAAATCGAGGGGGCTTGACTCGATATACATGTTCCAATCAAGAATATAATTCCTTTGTATCAGCTACAACGTCGAAAATATGAAACGTGAATACCGTAATGAAAAAAATATAATGCATCAGACGTACCCGCTATAGGTGTACCCTGAACAACGAAGGAATATATTGTACTCAGGCAGCCACAGGTCAGGATTCTCGGGTTGTTGGGAGGGATCTATCCAACCCGTAACCCGTTCTACACCGTACAGTAAACCAACCACTTGAGCCGCACCGCATTCAAGACAAAATTCCGGGTGGCGGCCTGAGGGCATGAAACATTTCACAGCACGTGGACCAAAACCCTTTTTACAAGTGTGATAAGCAGAAGACGAAGCGCAGCGAAGACGAAGCGCAGCCAAGAAGCGTCGACTCAGCCATCAGCATTTCCGCCACAGCAGCTGCTCTACTCCTTCCAGTGCAATACATATCCGTAGCGGCAACTCCTCCCCGCATTTCACGGCTCGTCGCTCATGCTCCGCCACCCGTCGTCACCGCCTCTCCTGCCGCTCTGCCTCCTACTCGCTCTCACCTTTCGCTGCTCGCCTTTGCTGCTCCCGCGGCTCGTCTCCGCTCCGAGCCACCATGCTCCCTCGTGTGCTGTCGCGCTCGTCGCGGCAGCAAGCGCAATTCCCGCGAGTCAGAATATCTTCGCGATTCTTGAGGCGCCGCAAAATTCGGCAGCAAGCGAAGCCCCCGCGAGGCAGAACCCCTTCGCGGTCAGGTGGGCGCCGCGAAATGCGGGCCCGGTTGCGGATTCCGTCGCAGAAGCTGTCGCAGAGGTAGTCGCGAAGCCAGTCGCAGAGGCTGTCGCGGGGTCCAGGCGACGGATGGGTTTGGAGGAGGGCGGGGAGGAAGGGGAAGCGCAGCAGGTAGTGGGGCGCGTGGATGCCATAGAGGCGGAATTGGCGCAGGCGGAAGGGGGGGTGAGGGCGGAAGGGGTTAGAGAAAGGGGAGCGGAAGGGGGAGCAGAAGGGGGAGCGGAAGGAGAAGGGAAGGCGGAAGGGAGGGGGAGAATAGAGGCGGGTAGAGGTGAATTTTGGAAGGCGGAGGCGGGAGGGGAAGGGGAGGACGAAGGCGGACGGGGTGAGAGCGAGCAGGGTCCGCAGGCAGCAGGAGGGGGGCAGCGCGCAAATCACTCCCCCTCCATCTTCCCCCAGTCCCGCGCCCCGCTCCCCGCGTCGTGGATGCCCGTGCCCGCGCGGCGCCTGGGGTGGGCGGCGCGGAGCGCGGAGCTGCCGGTGATCGCGCTGGACCTCTTCAACACGCACCTCCGCGCGCCCCTCCACATGCGCTGCCACGGCCGCGCGTGCCCCGCCTTCTCCCCCTGCGGGGACACCTTCGGGAACGTCGCCGCCTGCTGGAACAAAGAGCTCTCCGCGGATCGGCGGATGAACATGCGCGCGCCCATCAACTGCCCGCGCGTGCAGGGGGGCTGGCGGAACGCGACGTGCGCGCACGCGGAGGACCTGGACGCGAGAGACGCGGTGGCCTTCCAGGTGGGTTATCAGGTTGCATATGGTGGGCTTTGGTGGGCATTGCGAGGTGCCCAGGGACGACGTGGATCTCATTGTGAGTTTTATGCCTCCTCATGGGCACCTCGTGTGTGCACGCACGCGGAGGACCTGGACGCAAGAGACGCGGTGGTTTTTCAGGTAAGTGACCAGGTGGTCTTTGGTGGGCATTGCGAGGGAGGGATGATGTTGATCTTCTTTATAGTGCCTCGTGATGGGCACCTTGTGTTCAGACATGCGCATACTCGTGTGTGCGCGCACGCGGAGGACCTGGACGCGAGGGACCTGGACGGTGGCCTTCCAGGTGGGTTTTCAGGTGCCCTTTCAGCTGAAATTTCACATTGGATTTCAGGTAGGTGACCAGGTAACCCTCCGGATTGCAATCTAACTTATCCCATCTGACCCCATCCCACCGCGCCGAACCGCACACTGCAGGCGTTCCGCGTGCACCACGTGTTTGTGTCCAACCTCGGGTTTGTCTTCAACCGCACGCACCGCTTCGTGCGCAACGGCTGCGGGGCATACCAGAAGGTGGGTGGGTGAGAGAGGCACGAGGATAGTATAGTAAAGTAGGAGGTTTGCCTCACTCACGTAGCACTTACTCCGTCTGTGGTGCTGCTGACACGTGGTCTGGCCCTACTCGCTAGCAGTTAGAGGTCTGCGAGGTGAAGAGGTGGGCTGTGGACCGGAGGTCTGTCACGTATCACTTACTCTCTTCATTCACCCTACATCACATCACATCACATCACATCACTTCACCTCACTTCACCTCACTTCACCTCACTTCACTTCACTTCACTTCACTTCACTTCACTTCACTTCACTGCACTTCACTTCATTGCTTACTCAGCAAGCCTCTTTCGGCCGATTCTTTCAGTTCACTCTCACCACCACACCATGCATCATCGCTGGGTCTGTGATGTTGATTGCCCGTCCCTTATTTTGGAACTCTCCCCCTCCTTTCTTCCTCCAATCTCTCCCCGTTTTTCCCCAACCTCCCCCTTCCCCACCTTCCCCACTTCCCCCCTTCCCTCGCCCCCTCTTCTCATCCTCCCCCACCTTCCCTCCCCCTTTTCCCCGCCCACCCCTCCTCCTTTCTTCCGCCCATCCACGCGGGTGCGCAGGCTAGCCAGGGCAATCAACTGGGCACACGTGGCAGGTCTAACAATCCTCCACATGCTCACAGAGGCCCTCCCCCAGCTCTTCAACCTCGCCTTCTCCTTTCTTAACTTCCCCCCTTCCCCTCTTTCCCTCCGACCCTCCTCCCCACCACCCCTCCACCCCTCCTCCCCTCCTCCCCTCCTGCCCTCCCTCTGTGCGCTCCTGCTCCCAGTTCTCTTTTCCTGCCACCGCACGTGTGCGCAAGCTGGGTCGAGCAATCAACTGGGCGCACGTGGCGGGACTAGCCTTCTTCCACATGCTCACGGAGGCCATGCCTCAGCTCTACAACCTCGCGCCCCTCCTGCCCTCCTTCCACCGTGGTCCCCGCCTCCCGCTCCTCGCCTCACCCAAGCAGGTAAAAATGCTGGGTGATGGTGGTGGTGGTTGTTGGGTCGGGGTATGCATATGCATATATGTGCTTCGATTCGGGCCGCCTCAATCCACTGTGGACGAGGGGGCGGGGGGGGGGGAGGGGGAGGGGGGGGGGGGGGGGGAGGGTGGGTGGTCGCTTGGACGACGCGTCAAGTGAACCGTTAACAGCCATCGGCCCATATCTAGCTTTGGGCCCTCCTGCCCTCCACAGCTCTACAACCTCGCACCCCTCCTGCCCTCCTTCCACCGCGCCCCCCGCCTCCCTCTCCTCGCCTCCCACCGCGGCCCCCGCCTCCCATGTCATAAATGGGCATGCCATGCATGAGCGTCTTCTGTCGTCTATTTTACGTGAACTGACATGATTTGAACATCAGATGTTTATGCTTCTATGTGCGTGTGTGCATCCATACGTGTATGCGTGCATGTGTGTATGTGTGCATGCGTGCATGCGTGCATGTGTGTATGTGTGTATGCGTGCATGCGTGCATGCATGCATGTGTGCATGTACATACAATGCTACCCTCTGCCAGGTGCAGGTGTGGGACGATCTAATGGCGCCTCTCGTGGGCATTGCCAGGGACGATGTGGACCTTATAGTGCCTCCTGATGGGCACCTTGTGTTTGTGCGCACACTCTTGGAGGTGAGAGCGCGAAAGAAGAGAAGGGGCAGGGTCTTGTGCTGCTCAGAGAATGAGCATTGTCATGGGTAGTGTTCTTGAAGAGCATTCCGAGAGTTCCGAGGAACCCATTGTGCCGCCTGATGGGCACCTTGTGTTTGTGCGCTGCGCACAATTGTGGAGGTGAAAGGCCGTCGAAGTAAGAGGTGAAGGGTTCTCAAACCACCCCCCTACTCACCCCCACACTTCCCAGCCTGAACCCATCCTTACATTCTTCTCTTTTTCCTCTCTCTCACTCACCCTCTTGCTCCCTCCCTCCCTCCACCTCTCTCCACCCCCTTCAACTCTCCCTCACACCACTCATTCTCCCTATCTCTCTCCCTCTCCCTCCACCCCCACCCCCCCACCACCCAGCCATCCCGGCAGTACTGCGGGGTGCCGGCGAGGGGCCTGTGGCACAGCCTGCGCAGGCAGCATCTGCTGCACCCGCAGGGCCTTCCCATCTTCCACGGCAACTGGACGCAACGAAGCATCACCCCCCTCACCGACACCCAGATGGCTCTGCTGCCCGCGGACTGGGTGGTGGTGCTGGTGCGGCGGCCGGGCAAGGAGAGGGTGATGGAGAGAGAGGGGCAGCTGGAGGAGAGCATGAGGCACGTGTTTGGCGACCGACTGGTCGTTTATGGCAAGTCGCTGCCCATCCTGCAAGGTGGGAGTGGGTTGCTGGGTGGGAGTGGGTTGCTGGGTGGGAGTGGGTTGCATTCCATGGTGAGAGAGGGGTGGATGGTGGGGGTCACTCTTCTATCCCCTCTTCTATCCCCTCTTCTATCCCCTCTTCTATCCCCCTCCCCCTCCCCAATTCCCTCTCTTTCCCCCCGTACTCCGGCTCCCCCCTCCCCCCTCCCCATGCCGCTGTCAGCCCGAGCCCTGTTCCAGCCCTTTCACTCTTCTCCCCTTATTTCTCTTCCTCTTTCCTCTTTATCCTCGCCCCTTTCCCTTCCCATTCCGTCATGCTGTCAGCGCGGAAGCTGTTCCGGAGGGCGAGGCTGCTGGTGGCGGTACATGGGGCGGGCCTTACTCTCTCACACTCTTGCTCTCTTTCTCTTTCTCTTGCTCCCTCTCCCCCTCCCCTCCTCCCGGTGCCCCATGCTGTCAGCCCGAGCACTGTTCCGGAGGACGCGGCTGGTGGCGGTGCACGGAGCGGGCTCTTCTTTCCCCTACCCCTACCAATCCCCCTCCCTTTCTTCCCTTCCCCTCCTACTCCCCGTACCCCTTCTTCTCTTCCCCTCCTCTGCGTGCCGCTCCCAGCCCAAGCGCTGTTCCGGAGGGCACGGCTGGTGGTGGCGGTGCACGGGGCGGGCCTGTCCCACATCATCTTCATGCCCTCCAATGCCTCCGTGCTCGAGATTCGCCCTTGGGATTACCACAACACGTGCTACCACCACTTGGCCGAGGCCTGCGATGTCAATTACTATTTGCTCCTGGGAGAAGGGAATAAAAAGGGTATTGTTAAAGCGGATGTAGGGGAGATAATGGGGTTGGTTGCGACGATAGCTACAGGATGGGAAGATGTACCCGGCTAGAAATGGAATGCTTGGACAAACAGGGTGGAATGTTATTTTCAAAACAAAAGAACGCATGTGCCCACCTACCATTGTTTGATTGATTCGTTTCCTGTGCATACTGTGTATTGGTTCACATTTTCTCCAGCTGATACTGTTCAATGCCTGCACACCTACCATAATAAACCAGGCTCTTAGTACCTATCACACAAACAAACCAACAGGAATGTGGACTAAAGGGCATACTGCGTATGCAAACCAAGCCAAAAAAGTAATCTCGATGGCCTAAGCAGCAATGGGTCTGGCATGTTGGCAAAGACAAGCATGCCGACAGAAAAACGCAGCACCTACCGGTAAGGTAAGGCAAACACACAGACCAGCCGGCTCATAGCAACTCACCCACCCACACACACACAACACAACACGACTGACTAGGCAGTCAATTTGAATCTACGTCAAAGCTCCCGAAAGGGGAGCAAGCGAATCACTTGTGTACAGGAAGAGCACTGCACCGCACCGCACCACACACTGCAGCATTTGCATGCAGAGGCTAAAAAACACTTCATTTCCCTTCTTTCCAGGAATCTCCCCTCGCTTTCTTTCTGTGGCGTCTAAACAATCTCTCCACCATGTAATATCTCCCTCCTCTCCACATATACTCCCCATCATAATCTATTTTGGTAACCGCTCCCTCCCTCCTTCCAAACCACCAATTTCGCTTCGTCACCCAGTGCGGGGGGGTACTCTAGAAGCAGGGTTCCTTAGAGGGTCGAAGTAGGGGTGGTCCTGCAGGGTGGGGAGGGGTGGGATGGGATGGGATGGGATGGGGTGGGATGGGATGGGGTGGGATGGGATGGGGTGGGATGGGATGGGATGGGACGGACTGCAACAGAAAAAGCTGACTGGGCTCATGGCATCACACGCTAATGCCCATAATTGAACACCACTTCCACTGCGCCACACCCCATGCCCCCGCCAGCCCCAACCACACCCTCTCATAACCCACCATAACGAATTATAGCCCACCATAACGAATTATAGCCCACCATAACGAATTATAGCCCACCATAACGAATTATAGCCCACCATAACGAATTATAGCCCACCATAACCCACCATAACGAATTATAGCCCACCATAACGAATTATAGCCCACCATAACGAATTATAGCCCACCATAACCCACCATAACGAATTATAGCCCACCATAACGAATTATAGCCCACCATAACGAATTATAGCCCAACATAACCCACCATAACGAATTATAGCCCACCATAACGAATTATAGCCCACCATAACGAATTATAGCCCACCATAACGAATTATAGCCCACCATAACGAATTATAGCCCACCATAACGAATTATAGCCCACCATAACGAATTATAGCCCACCATAACGAATTATAGCCCACCATAACGAATTATAGCCCACCATAACGAATTATAGACCACCATAACGAATTATAGCCCACCATAACCCACCATAACGAATTATAGCCCACCATAACGAATTATAGCCCACCATAACGAATTATAGCCCACCATAACGAATTATAGCCCACCATAACCCACCATAAAGAATTATAGCCCACCATAACGAATTATAGCCCACCATAACGAATTATAGCCCACCATAACGAATTATAGCCCACCATAACCCACCATAACGAATTATAGCCCACCATAACCCACCATAACGAATTATAGCCCACCATAACCCACCATAACGAATTATAGCCCACCATAACCCACCATAACGAATTATAGCCCACCATAACCCACCATAACGAATTATAGCCCACCATAACCCACCATAACGAATTATAGCCCACCATAACCCACCATAACGAATTATAGCACACCATAACCCACCATAACGAATTATAGCCCACCATAACCCACCATAACGAATTATAGCCCACCATAACCCACCATAACGAATTATAGCCCACCATAACGAATTATAGCCCACCATAACCCACCATAACGAATTATAGCCCACTATAACGAATTATAGCCCACCATAACGAATTATAGCCCACCATAACCCACCATAACGAATTATAGCCCACCATAACCCACCATAACGAATTATAGCCCACCATAACCCACCATAACGAATTATAGCCCACCATAACGAATTATAGCCCACCATAACCCACCATAACGAATTATAGCCCACCATAACCCACCATAACGAATTATAGCCCACCATAACCCACCATAACAAATTATAGCCCACCATAACCCACCATAACGAATTATAGCCCACCATAACCCACCATAACAAATTATAGCCCACCATAACCCACCATAACAAATTATAGCCCACCATAACCCACCATAACAAATTATAGCCCACCATAACCCACCATAACAAATTATAGCCCACCATAACCCACCATAACAAATTATAGCCCACCATAACCCACCATAACAAATTATAGCCCACCATAACCCACCATAACAAATTATAGCCCACCATAACCCACCATAACAAATTATAGCCCACCATAACCCACCATAACAAATTATAGCCCACCATAACCCACCATAACAAATTATAGCCCACCATAACCCACCATAACGAATTATAGCCCACCATAACCCACCATAACGAATTATAGCCCACCATAACCCACCATAACAAATTATAGCCCACCATAACCCACCACAACGAATTACAGCCCACCATAACCCACCATAACAAATTATAGCCCACCATAACCCACCATAACAAATTATAGCCCACCATAACCCAGCATAACCCACCATAACAAATTATAGCCCACCATAACCCACCATAACAAATTATAGCCCACCATAACCCACCATAACAAATTATTGCCCACCATAACCCACCATAACAAATTATAGCCCACCATAACCCACCATAACAAATTATAGCCCACCATAACCCACCATAACAAATTATAGCCCACCATAACCCACCATAACAAATTATAGCCCACCATAACCCACCATAACAAATTATAGCCCACCATAACCCACCATAACAAATTATAGCCCACCATAACCCACCATAACAAATTATAGCCCACCATAACCTCACCATAACAAATTATAGCCCACCATAACCCACCATAACAAATTATAGCCCACCATAACCTCACCATAGCCCACCATGACCCCACCCAGCAAGCCATCCCACGTGGCACACTGACTGACCATGGCTTGCTTGGCTGTGAGCCTCTCCTGGTGGTCGTAGCGCAGCAGGCGGTCAAGAAAGTCAATGGCCTGGGTTGGAGGGGGGAAGGGAGGAGGGGAAGAAAGGGTAGTGGGGGAGTGGGGGTTAGGTGGACTCAAGACTTCCCTGGTGGTCGTAGCGCATCGGGCGGTCAAGAAAGTCAATGGACTGGAGGGTGGGGGAATGGGGAGCGCAGGGTGGGGAAAAGGGGGAAATTTTAAAGCATGTACAGCATGAGGAAATCCTATATGAGGCCGGGTATGGTACAGAACAGAGCAGAACAGAACAGCAGGGAATTACCTCCGGTGACACGAGGTGCTGGTTCTCCGCAGTAACAAAGCGCGACCAGGGCTTGCTGCTTGTGCGAGCATGGGAAAAAAATTCAGGGTGCAAAATTCAAATTTCGGAAAAAAATTCCGATTTTTTCATATTTTGGGCGAAAAATTCGCTATCGAAAATTTCCCCCGTATTTTTCCAAAATTTCGGTCAGAAAAAAAAATATAAATTTGGTGGAAAAATTCGTCCGAAATTCTAAAGAAAATAAAAGTAAAAATCGCTAATAAATGGGAAAAAACTATGGGTGCAAATCTTACTGGCATTAAGCCGCCAAATTTAGGCGGATCCCCCATTTAGGCACCAGATCTTTGCAAATACCTGGCATTTGGCTGCCAGATCTGGGCGAATCTAGCATTCCGCCGCTAAACCTAGGCGGATCTGCCATTTAGGCACCAGATCTCTGCATAAATCTGGCATTTCGCCGCAAGGAGATTTTGAACATTTTTTAAAGGTCTAACAAAAATTCGCCGAAATTTTCAGAATCTGCCCAAAATTTTCCACCGAAAATTTCCAAGCGAAAAATTCCCTATCCGCAATTTTCCACCCTGCATGGTATGGCACGGTATGGAGTGGGTTATGGTACAATAAGCAACAGTGAAGCATGGTATAGTGCGGTATTACCTCGGGCGACACGAGGTGCTGGTTCTCGGCAGTGACAAAGCGCGACCAGGGCTTGCGACGATGCCTGCCCACAGCGGACTGCAGCTGCGAGTCCAGGCGCACGGAGTAGCGCGTGAGGTACTGGTACAGGTCCGATGTGCCTAGGACCTGGTTGGGAGGTGGAAAGGGATTGTGGAGGATGATTGTGTCAGTGTGTGTGCGCGTGGGGACGGTGCCTCCCCACAGCGGACTGCAGCTGCGAGTCCAGGCGCACGGAGCAGCGCGTGAGGTACTGGTACAGGTCCGATGTGCCTAGCACTGTGCCTAGCACCTGGTTGAGAGGAAAGAATAGGGGAGGAGGGGAGGCAGGAGAGATGGGGAGGATGAGTGCGTCAGTGTGTGGAGAGGGACTGCAGCTGCGAGTCCAGGCGCACAGAGCAGCGCGTGAGGTACTGGTACAGGTCCGATGTTCCCAGGACCTGGTGGGGAGAAATTGGGAGGTGGGGGGGATGGGGGGAGATAAATTGGGGAAAAGAGGAAGTAAGGGGAAGAGATACATTGAGAGTGCGGAAGAGAGATACTGGTACTGCCGCATGCACGCCCTGCCGCATGCACGCCCTGCCGCATGACCCCCAGCTTCTGTAGCGTTACAGTTTACCAGAAGCCTGATCATGCCTTCTTGCCATCCCCCTCACACCCCCCACCTGCCGTCCCCTCCCCCTTCCCCTCCCATCCCCTCCCATCCCCTCCCACCCTTCCCCATCTCCCCCTCCTCCTCCCCTCCCATCCCATCCCCTCCCCTCCCCCGCCCTGGCCAAATGGCAAGGTGATGTGGCGTGTGTACTGACGAGCATGAATCACCTCACCTGTGCAATCTTGACGAGCTGGTCGTTGTTATCTGCCCCAAAGAAGAATGGCAAGGTGGTGTGGCATGCACACTGACGATCATGAATGACCTCACCTGAGCGATCTTGACGAGCTGGTCGTTGCTGAGAGTTCTCAGAAAACAGTTTGAGAATTCTCAAAAAGGTGATGTGGCGCGTGCACTGACGATCATGAATGACCTCACCTGAGCGATCTTGACGAGCTGGTCGTTGTTGTCTGCCCCAAAGAAGAATGGCTCCCCTTCCCCCCGTCTTCCCTTCCCCCCCTCGTTCCCTCCCATCCCCTCCCCCTCCCATCACCATGCTGACGGTCATGAATGACCTCACCTGAGCAATCTTGACGAGCTGGTCGTTGTTGTCCGCGCCAAAGAAGAATGGCTCCCTGCGGAAGATCTGCCACACGAGGAGAGAAGGGGGAGACGAGGAGGGGGAGGGGGGGGGGGGAGGAGGGAAGGAGAAGGAGGGAGAGAGGAGTGGGAGAGAGAGAGCGGGAGGGAGTGAGAGGGAGGCCGGGCCGGGGCGGAGAGCGGGGAGGAGGGAGGGAGGAACGGAGGGCACGATGACTTTTGAGTCAACTCAAACGAGAGCGGGAGGGAGTGAGAGGGAGGGAGGCCGGGCCGGGGCGGAGAGCGGGGAGGAGGGAGGGAGGGAGGAACGGAGGCACGATGAGGAGTGGCAAGACAGTGGGATACGGGTGGGATAGGCCGAGAGGGGAGGGTGATTGAAAGCAAGAAGCATGGAACACAGCAATGGGGTATGGGGCATGGCACATGGGGCATGGCACATGGGGCATGGCACATGGGGCATGGCACATGGGGCATGGCACATGGGGCATGGCACATGGGGCATGGCACATGGGGCATGGCACATGGGGCATGGCACATGGGGCATGGCACATGGGGCATGGCACATGGGGCATGGCACATGGGGCATGGCACATGGGGCATGGCACATGGGGCATGGCACATGGGGCATGGCACATGGGGCATGGCACATGGGGCATGGCACATGGGGCATGGCACATGGGGCATGGCACATGGGGCATGGCACATTGGGCATGGCACATTGGGCATGACACATGGGGCATGGCACATGGGGCATGGCACATGGGGCATGGCACATGGGGCATGGCACATTGGGCATGGCACATTGGGCATGACACATGGGGCATGGCACATGGGGCATGGCACATGGGGCATGGCAGAAAAGCAGCTGTACGATGGCATGCAGTGTGCAACACTTGCTTCACGCACGCACGCACGCACGCACGCACGCACGCACGCACGCACGCACGCACGCACGCACGCACGCACGCACGCATCCCTGACACCATGCATGCACGCACCATGCCTGCGACCATGCACCCCAGGCTCCACATGTCCAGCGAGTAGTCATAGTCCTCTATGTTCACCAGCAGCTCGGGCCCCTTGAAGTACCTGCGAGGGACGAGAAAAGGAGCGAGGCAGGAGGGGAAGGAGAGAGGAAGGGGCAAAGAAGCAAGAACGTTGGGAAGAGAGCGTTGGCAAAGAAACAAGTCCAGCGAGTAGTCATAGTCCTCTATGTTCACCAGCAACTCAGGCCCCTTGCAGTACCTGCGGTGAGGAGGGAGGGGGGAAGTGGGGAGGCGGGGGGAGGGGTGGGGGACGGGACGGGAGTAGGGGAGGTGCAGGGTAAGTTGACAAGGAGAAAGGAGCAGGGGAAGCTACTCAGGTGCTGCTGCGACCCCTTTGTAGCACCCCACACAACTCCCCTACACCCCAGACAGACTACCCCGCTACACAGCATGCAACCCCCCTGCCCCACTCACACACTCTCTCTCACACACACTCACTCGCACACAGCATACAGCACGCACCGGGAGGCGACGCGCACGTTGTAGGCCATGCCCGGGTGGTAAAACTGAAACATTCCCCACTCTATGAGGCGCAGCTAGCGCTGCCTGTCTCATCCCTTGCGCCCATTCACACACCATGCACCCCGTACAACATCTCTGCACCCTGAACAGCTCTCTCACCTAGAGGCGACGCGCACGTTGTAGGCCATGCCTTGGTGGTAGAACTCCGCGAGACCCCAGTCTATGAGACGCAGCTGGCGCTGCCTGCCTCTCGCATTGCATCCGCCCATCCACACAGCCTCGTCATATTTCCGTGCTGCAAACAAACTCCCCTGCACCCCGTACAACGCCTTTGCACCCTCAACAGAACAGCTCACCTAGAGGCGACGCGCACGTTTTAGGCCATGCCCGGGTGGTAGAACTCCGCGAGACCCCAGTCTATGAGGCGCAGCTGGCGCTGCCTGTCTCATCCCACACACACGCACACTCTTTCAGACACAGACACTTACACACTCTCAACAGCTCACCTAGAGGCGACGCGCACGTTGTAGGCCATGCCCGGGTGGTAGAACTCCGCTAGGCCCCAGTCTATGAGGCGCAGCTGGCGGCGCTGGTGGTCGATCATCACGTTGTGCGGCTTCACGTCCCGGTGCATGATGCCCTGTGAATGCGCAAAGTCCAGCGCCTGGGGGGAGCACGGGGCGGAGGGTGGGAAGGGAGGAGAGAGGGGAGGGTACGGGACAGGACGGTACGAGACGGGCGGGATGGAGAAGGGAACACAAAGAAATAAAGGCCGCGTGAGGCATGGAGAAAAGGAAAGGGATTTAAGGGATTTACATCGCGCGGCATGATGCCCTGAAAGTGAAGTCTGGCTTACACGCTTGCTCTCTCACACATGCTTCCCCTTACTCCTACCCGCTCACACGTTTTTCACACGCACACACACACACAGCCGTACCTGCAGCAGCTCGTAGAGGTAGAAGCGGATGTCGAGATCGGAGAGCGCGGGGTAGAGGTGCTTGAAGTCGTGGTTGTTCACAAACTCAAACATCAGCGACGGCGTGCCTGTTGCTGTTGCTGTTGCTGTGCTCCACGGGCTGTAAGTGAAGTCTGGCTTGCACGCTTGCTCTCACACATGCTGCCCTCTTAACATGCTTCCCCACAAACGTCTCCCCCTTGCACACACAGCCATCCATACCTGCAGCACACTCTCACATGTCCTCGCTCGTACCTGCAGCAGCTCGTAGAGGTAGAAGCGGATGTCGAGGTCGGAGAGCGCGGGGTAGAGGTGCTTGAAGTCGTGGTTGTTCACAAACTCAAACACCAGCGACGGCGTGCCCGACTGCGCGTCCTGCACCACGTCCAGCAGCTGAATGATGTTGCGCCCGCCCATCAGGTTCTGCAGTATCTTGATCTCGCGCAGAATCTGGTGGGGGAGGAGGCGAAGGGAGAGGGGGGAGGGGGAGGGAGAGAGAGAGATATAGAGAGAGGGAGGGGGGCAGGGGGAAGGGCGGAGGGAGAGGGAGGAGGCGGGAGAGAGATGAGGGTGAAGCCAGTGGGTAGTGGAAGGGGAGAGCGGCGCAAGGAGAGGAGTGGGATTGTGTTTGTGAAACGGCTGTGAGAGACGGTTCGTCCTGCACCACGTCCAGCAGCTGAATGATGTTGCGCCCGCCCATCAGGTTCTGCAGTATCTTGATCTCGCGCAGGATCTGGTGGGGGAAGGGAAGAGACAGGACAGGAGGAAGGGGATGGTGCCGGAAGGTGGGTAGTGGAAGGGAGGGAAAGGGGGCGGAGGAGGGGGGGGAGGATATGATTGTGCTTGTAAGGCGGAGAGAAAGCATGCAGGAAGGGAGAGGAAGAAGAGAAGAAAAAGGGACGAGAGAAGCGTGGGATAGAAAGGGAAGGAGTGGTTGGGATAGCGGTTACATCAAGTCCACGACAATACTCACATCACAGGCAATCACGGATGCAGCAACGAGGGAGGGCGAAGGGCACGTAGAGTAAGAAGGCAATGGCGTTTATTTTATGCATGCAACACAAAACGCTCCGACTAACTTGTGCATCCATTCACTCACTCACCCCTTCCTTGCCTCCCCCCCTCTCACTCACCCATACTGCCCTCCTCTCCGCTCCTCCCCCCTTTCCCCCACTCCCCCGCTCCCCTCCCGCCTCCTCTTTTCTTTGTGTGCCCCTCTGTCCATCTCCCCGCCCGTCTCCGCCTCTCTCCGCCTTCCCTCCCCCAAACTTACTCCCCCTGACACCCCCCCTTTCCTCCTTGCCCTCTCCCCCTGCCCCTTTCCCCCCCTCCCCACCTTCTTCCGGCACTCGGGCTTGAGCACTTTGACGATGCAGCGCGTTATGAGGCGCGTCGCAAACCTCCCCCTGACACCCCGCCACGGCCCTTTCCCCCCTCCCCCGCACCTTCTTCCGGCGCACGGGCTTGAGCACTTTGACGATGCAGCGTGCGCCGTGGCGGGTGCTGCGCCCCTCAAACACCTCGCTGTACTTCCCGCGTCCCACCTTGCGCACCAGCTCGTAGTCCGCCTGGTCGCTGCAGGGGGGAGGGGGGAGAGGGGGAAGAGGGGGGGGGGAGGGCGAGGGGAGAAGTGGGGGGGAGTGGGGGGATGGGCCGGGGAGGGTTGGTTGTGCAGGAGCCAGGACCCTGTTTTGTTACTTCCCGGGTCCCACCTTGCGCACCAGCTCGTAGTCCGCCTGGTCGCTGCAGGGGGGAAGGGGCGGGGGGAAAAAGGTGGGAGGAAAAGGTGGAAGGGGGTGGTTGTGCGGGAGGCAGGACCCTGTCGTGGCTGTTCCCCCGCCCCACCTTGCGAACCATCTCGTAGTCCGCCTGGTCGATTTTTAAGTCGACTTAAAAATCGACTTTCCCCCGCCCCATCTTGCGGACCATCTCGTAGTCCGCCTGGTCGCTACAGGGGGGAAGAGGCGGGGGAGAGGGAAGGGGCGGGGAAGAGTCGGGGAGGGTTGGTTGTGCGGGAGCCTGGTCCCAATGGTCTCACTACTCTGCGGGTCGATACACATTCACCACAAGCGCATCTTACACCACACCACACCGCACCACACAGATCCCCACCTCCCCTCCTCCCACATGTCCTTTCCACTCACCCCCACGGCACTTGGAGCGCCTCGTAATCCCAGTAATCCGCGGGTCGCTGCACGTTCACGTGGCTGTACACGCGCATCTCACACCACACCGCCGCACCACACCATACACCACACCATACTGCATGCACCGCACCGCACCGCACCTCACCACATAGTTCCCCACTCATCCCCACGGCACTCGTAGCGCCTCATAGTCCCAGTAGTCCGCGGATCGCTGCACGTTCACGTGGCGACACACGCGCATCTCACACCACACCATACCAAACCGTACCACACCGCACCGCATCACACTGTACCACCCCGCACCGCATGTCCTCCCACTCACCCCCAGGGCACTCGGAGCGCCTCGTAGTCCCAATAGTCCGCAGGACGCTGCACGTTCACGTGACTGTACACGCGCGAGCAGGGTGCGGGGGGCGGCGGCGGGTCCGGATACGTGGTAGGGCTCTGGAGGAACGAAACAAGCTGGGAGAATTTCGGAAATCCAGGGAGTAATTGCTGCTCTTCCTGCTGCTGCTGTATCTGTTGCGGATGTGCCTTTCTCTGCGGAATGTGCTGCACGGGTTGCTTGGGCTGGTGCTGCTGCGGCTGCGACGGCGAAAGCGGCAGCCTCTGCTGCTGAAGCAGCTGCGACTGACGCTGCTGCTGCTGCAGCTGCTGCTGTTGCTGCTGCTGTAGCTGCTGCTGCTGCTGCTGCTGCTGCCTTTGAATCATCTGCCGATGCTGCTGTAACCGTTGCTGTTCCTTCAACCGCTGTTGTTGCTGCTGCGCTTGTAACAGGCTCAGCTGCTGCTGTCGCTGCTGCTGCTGCTGCTGCTGCATAAGAAGAGCCTGAGCCTCTTGTCTGGCTGCCGCTGCTGCCGCCAGCTGCTGCTGCTGCAGCTGCTCCAGTCGCCGCTGTCTCTGCAGCTCCTGCTGCTGCTTCTTCTGCAATTCGTCCTCCTCCTGCTGCTTCTGCGACGAGGGAGGGGTTGGGGAAGACGAGGAAGGAGCAGCTGTTTCCGTTTGCTGCTGGAGCGGCTGCTGCTGCTGTCTCGTCACTCGGTCCATAGTCTCAAATAGGCGTCCGAACGAAAACCCATTAGAAGCACCGCCCCCATCTTTCGACGGCCACAGTCCTTGCTTCGGCTGCTGTGGCTGCTGCTGCTGTTGCGACGGAGGCGGCGGTGGCGGCGGCGGTTGCTGCTGCGGGTCGTTGCTGCCGCTATTGTTCCCCGCACGGGTTGTCCCCGTCCAAGCACCGCCTACTCCGCTCCCGCCGCCGCCGCTGCCGGAAACCCAGCAGCTCGATAGTTTATCATGGCCGGAATGTGCGGGCGCGAGGTAGGGTTGGTGCGGAATCCCAGGCGTAAACACGGACGGGCGGTAGCTGTTACGGATAATAAGGCGACGCGGACGACGATGCTGAGCGACGCGGTGCGGTGGCGGCGTGATGACGTGGGCACCCTCATGGTGCAGCGGCACAAGCGGCAACCGCGGACACGACGCGGAAAGGCACGCGCGGGAGATAGTGGCGCAGGGCTGAGCTTGAACGATGGAGGAAGGGGAAGGAGCGGCAATGATGGCCGCGCGGGAGGTTGCGCAGGAGGCTACGCGGGAGGTTGCGCGGGTATCGGACGGGAAAATGTGCGGGTAATGCGGGCGGTGGGAGGGTTGAGAGAGACTGGAGGAGAGAGAAGGGCTTAAATGGTTTTGGGCCATGGGTGTGGCAACGCCGTCGAGCGCGTCACTGGAAGTGGCGACCTAGGTTCGGCGATACTTGAGCAGGAGAGCTTGGTTTGGTCAGTCTTGGTCGTTATCGGTGGCAATACTTCCGTCGTACAAACGACATCCGCCGCACTGGCAATCCTCCAGCGATATAAACCCTGCCAGTCCTATCGAGCACGTTTAATCGTGTCCAACTTGTAAGAAATAAGAAATGCTGCTGGCGCTACGCATTCGGCGGTCTTGCCTGTCGGCCTTCGTCAACTGCAAGGGTTGCCTTGGTGACCCTAGTCGCACGCATTCCTCAACGAAAAGGCCGAGCTACTGCTGCTCCAGAATCCTCCATGGATGAACGCACGACGACGGAAATGCGCAGCGCGTCTAGTGAGAGAAGGGACAATCAAACGACTTGAGCTTTGGGCTTGTATGGACGGTCCGAGCCGTTGTGTGAGGATAAGGACACATGCCTAGTGTGTCTGGGGGAAAATGGGAGATGGGTTGGGGGGAAGGGGACCAACTGCATTAGAGAGAGAGAGAGAGAGAGAGAGTGTGTGTGTGTGTGTGTGTGTGTGTGTGTGTGTGTGTGTGTGTGTGTGTGTGTGTGTGTGTGTGTGTGTGTGTGTGTGTGTGTGTGTGTGTGTGTGTGTGTGTGTGTGTGTGTGTGTGTGTGTGTGTGTGTGTGTGTGTGTGTGTGTGGTGTGTGTGTGTGTGTGTGTGTGTGTGTGTGTGTGTGTGTGTGTGTGTGTGTGTGTGTGTGTGTGTGTGTGTGTGTGTGTGTGTGTGTGTGTGTGTGTGTGTGTGTGTGTGTGTGTGTGTGTGTGTGTGTGTGTGTGTGTGTGTGTGTGTGTGTGTGTGTGTGTGTGTGTGTGTGTGTGTGTGTGTGTGTGTTTGTGTGTGTGTGTGTGTGTGTGTGTGTGCGCGGGAAACAGGTTTGGTGAACTGGAAGGATGACCTCGCTCAAACGAGAATCTCGTTACAGGAGTGCCTGATCGATGGGGATGTTCAGGAGGACATGTCCGTTGGGTTTTGGCGCTTGCTTCGGGTTTGGTTTGGGATTTCCGAGCTTAGGTTATCCACTTCTTGGGCATTTGAGTGGACTTCCCCAAAAGGAATGGTGGCAGTTCCGGCGAATGGACTTCCCGAGACGTGGATATTTGCAAAACATACCTTTGGAGAAAGACCGCCTGCTAGGTTCTAATGCTTGCAAGTGGTTTGTTATCCCTTTAGTGATCGCAGTATTTTGTGCTGGCTCATTAGCCAGAAAGTGCAGCAAATCATGTCCTGAATCAGTATGGAATATACTTTTTTCTCCCTCTTCTAGTGAACCTGAAAATGAAGATGCGAGTTCCAGAGAAGCCCCACGTCATTTTCCAAGTGCAATCAAAGCCAATTACGTGGTGAGCAAAGGAGGTCCAGGTTACCCCATCCGTGTTTTACCAGTATGGCGGGAAAAGAGCACGATAGCCCATTATTATCTGTAACGATCGTGATCTAACGGTTGTCGATCGCACTGAATATCCGCGTTAACGATGACGTGGTTCTGGTTCTGGACATCTGTGCAAGGGTATTCCTAGCGTGTCAGGCTGGAAGTAGACACCACCCATCGGTCCCTAGCCTGTGCCTTCCGAAACATCAGATTGGCCTTGGCTGCGTTCTGCGGGCGCATTAGCCCGCATCAATGTACATTGCAATTATTTTTAGATGTTCCAGGAGCCTTCCTTGATAACCAGCAGAAAGGTTATCAAGGCTCGCGATAAGTGCTTGGCTGCCGAGGCAAACCAGTGCAAAATGCCTGCAGAACGATCTTTTTGGCAACCACAAATTTTAATGTTACCGCTTTCCGCGAAATTTATCTGCCTAGCAATCTGACGCAACCTTGATGCGCGCATGATGCTACGCCGAGAACACGCATGATGCGCGCATCAGCTCGAATTGGGGCAATTGAACAGCGCATCATGCGTGTGGGGAAGGCGCCAGGTGCGTGCTTCCCCACTTCGATGAAAGTTCAACACCCTGGAACTTGTCGGAATTTTGGGATCGAAATTTGACATGCCCGAAATTCGACATCCCCAATTTCCGATTTCCCGAACCTGCGTGTGCATTTTCCGAACCTCCATTTTCCAATTTCAATTTGGACATTACCGAGCCTCAATATGTCAATTTGTCAATTTGCCGAGCCTAGGGCGCATCAGGCTCTGATGCGGCCGCAGAACGCAGCCCTTGTTCTGCAAGCTTTATTCGCGTCGCACCTATTTGATCGCGGTTGCCTTCCATGTAACTTCGAGGCGCATTCATGCTAGTTACATTTCGCGGACATTGCTGCCTCGCATAACTTGTGCGGAGGCTGGTGCTAGCTCCTGAGGTAGAATCAGCACCGCACTAAGGCGCTGTTCTGTGGGCGTAAAATTTCCAAAAACTGGGCCCGCGGAATTTTCTTTGATAAGAGGTCTTCTGCCTATCAAGGTTTGGTGATAAGGGAGGTCCTGCCAAACCTGTTCGCGCCAAATTTAACGCCCCCGCCTGCAGAACACCACTTTTGTGGCGCACAGATTCAACCGTCTGCAGGTTCGAAGTTGTTGCTTCGTCGGGCAAATGGTCGCACAATTAGTGCGGTGCTGATTCTACCTTGGGAGCTAGCACCAGCCTCCGCACAAGTTATGCGAGGCAGCAACGTCCACGAAACGCAACTAGCATGAATGCGCCTCGAAATTACACGGAAGGCAACCGTGGTCAAATGGTGCGACGCGAATGACGCCTGCAGAACATCGCCTAATTGTGCGACCATTCGCCCGGCGAAATAACAACTTCGAACCTGCAGACACCTTAATTTGTGCGCCCCAAAAGTGGTGTTCTGCAGGCGGAAGCATTAAATTTGGCGCGAACAGGTTTGGCAGGACCTCCCTTATCACCAAACCTTGATAGGCAGAAGACCTATTACCGTATCAACAAAAATTCCGCGGACCCAGATTTTGGAAATTCAACGCCTACAAAACAGCGCTATTGGGTCATCAGAACTTCCACCCAGTGTCTGAATTGATATCTGATACTCGACATGAATGGGTCCTAACCTGACTGACCACCCAAACGCGGCGGGAATCTATAGCATTATGAATTACAGCTGAATTCAGATTCATGTCGGTTGGAAAATGAATATATTTACATACAAATCTGTAATTACATATGTGTTTGTGCATGTCAATAAGTTTGAATAAGTCATTAATATGATATTGTAAATATATTGTAAATAGCCGGTTTTTCATTCGAGTCTCATTTAGAACTTAGTTGTAGTCATAGATCGAACGAGTTCTCCGCGAAGGGCTTAAACGAGGATTCCTTTTGGTAGCAGAAAACCATCCATCAGGCGAGAAATCCAGCGAAGTCGTGGTGGAGGGGAGGGAGTTCGAACTTGGATGTTAGCCAGTTGACCACAGTGGATCTCACGGACAGTATGACAACAACTTGGCAGAGCGAGCACCGTCCACGTGGCCGCGATTGTTCGACCTTAGTGGACGAACAGGCCGAGGATGGAAGCACATGAACCAGTGATTGATGTCGTGGCGGAAAGTGTGAGCTGGAGCCGCAGGATGATGCGTTTGCTCCTTGGGTTCCGATTTTCATGACGTGGCAGACTTCAGTGCAAGATTTCGTTACACTTTGCGAGTGTCCATGCCGGACCATCCAAACCAACTGGCACAGGCTGCCTGTCTCGTTTCTGCTCCCTCGATCGACACTGTCAAGAAATATCAACGGTCATCAAGCGATTGGTTTACTGAAGGCAGGCAAAGTGGACCCGTGCGTCTTTGCGTATGGCCTACGGGGCGCACCCGCGATCTCCAACCAACTGCCTCCAGTTTCCGTCCCACCCGCATGGCTTCTCCCCTCCTCCCCACTTCCCTGCCAACCTAGCCTCCAGAACAGAGCAGAATTCATTTTCAACGCCCACATTTGACATGCTACAGTGGCTCTATGTACATGTACAGTACTGAAACAATGCCCGGGACCGCCAGGTGGGGTCGTGATTATTTTGCGGGGAACCAAACAGTGGAAGATCTGGTGCAATCAGATTTCCCCTGTCCAGACCGCACTTGCTCTCTGCAGAAGGCACACATCGGCGAAACGAAAGAAAGGCGAAATGAATCAATCAACCCTTCTCGCCAGCTCAAACTCCGCTGGCTCGCTCATCATCAGTCAGCTCGCCCATGCGACTGCTTTCCGCTGTCGTTCGTCGTCGTCGTCCTTTTATGTGCCCACTGGCGCGGCGCTCATCCACCTTTTGCTACCGATACCGTAACGAAACACACCAAACCAAAGTACAAATCTTTGCATCGCATCGCATCTGTCACTTGGGCAGCAGAACAGTAACAAGCCGGTAAGGACCAAGCTGCGCAACAGCAGATAGCATCAGCAGCAAGCAGGGTAATTGACACAACAAGAGCCATCAGCATCGTCCTCGTGAATCGCTACCTGCCTTGCAACATTGAGCGAATTAGCTCAACCAGCAAGATTTCCCACAAGGTTCTCGCTGGACCCTTCGGGTTTCCGCGCCCATTCCCGTAACCCGGATTAATCCAGCTACTGGGGGAAGCATAGCGACATTCGCACCACGGTCAGTCACACCTTCCATTCCTTAGAATCGTTCCTTAGACAGCACACAAAACAGCATCAAGCTGTCTTCTTTAGTACATTATTGCAGATCCCTGTCTGCATTTTCCGAGTTTCCATCCGTTTCTTTCTTCCCCATTCGATACGCAACATTTGTATCTTAATTCTCGATCAATTTTTCGAACCACCGTCGGTCTCATCACCCGTTAGGAACTCTCCCCACCGCACCTTATGCCGTCGACAGCCGCCGTCCACGCACCCGTCTCTCACCACCTCGGCTCCACCCTAGCCAAGCAGCACGCGCCGCTAAGGGGTGTTGCAATTGCTGGTTCTGCTAGAAACATGCAGACGGTGTTCGAGGATGAGGATAATTGGCTCCTGTCGTACCTCGCTTCGACGTCTGTCGGAAAAGACCCGCGCTTGAACGCGGCCACCGTCAAGGCGGGTTCCGCTACTGCTACCCCCGCCGCCGCCGCCTCCGCCAGCTCTGCTTCCTCCGCTTCCGCCTCTGCCGTCGCGGTTGAGATTAAGCCTTTAACTGCGGGGGGCGACGTTTCGACTCCTCCGCTCGCCGAGGCTGCGCCGTTAAAGCTCTCTCCCACCCGCACAGCTTCGGCAAGCAACGGCGCGACGCACAAACAACGGGACACATCCGCCGATAATACGTCAATTACTGGCGCAGCTGGCGGCGCAAGCGGTCCAACTGCTGCTGCGGAGGGCCCGCCAGTGACGTCCCTCGCGCAACAGCAGCAGCCGCTGCCAACAACCATTAACCTCCCCAAGTCCCAAAGCTCCGCGCCACGATTCCGTTCGCTAGCAACCACCGCCGACGAGGGGACGAGCTTTGGCGACCCTGATGTCGCAGCAGCAGCAGCCGCATCGGCAGCGGCGGTTTCCGCAATCGCCGCCGCCGTCAGTGGTGCGACAATGAAGTCGCCTCCCGAGAGCTTCAACGATTGGGTGGCGGGAGCTGGGCGCAAGTATCGCCGCCACTCCACTGCGGCCTCCCCCTCTGCTGCACCTCGCGCCGGTTTCGGCGCGGGTGGCGCGTCCGCGTTACAAGGCGGCGACCTCCTGGGGCAGGGCGTAGCCATGGCTGCCGACGCAGCGGCAGCCACGGCAGCCGCGGGTAGGCGGAGGCGGTCGAGTGTCGGGCGCGTGTCGATGAGCGGACGGCGACAGTCCATGGACTATTCCGAGCTGGACGCCATCAGGGAAAGGTGAGAATTTTCTGGTTTCCCTAGTCAAACAATTTGTTCATTCTATTTGAATAATATTTATTACCGATGGCTAAGCGTCTAAATTTCCGTCTTACTGGAAATTGTTGTCTTCTCGTGTAGATTTCCATGTGAACCCCCCTAACGTCGAAATTCACATTCATGGCGGTACACTGCCCTCGAAGTGAAAAGATCGAATAGAAACGGATTAGCGAATTTTGACAGCTCTGGGATAATTTAGTTAATTCCCTAAACGGTGGCAACACACATCGTCACACGGCTTGGGTAAATACAAGTTTCGGGGAGGCAATTCTGGTTCGTGTCAGCCTTCGACATTGAAATCCGATTTTGACGTTCCTTCGTAGTGTAGGTTGTTCACAACTCATAACGAGAAAAAACAACTCCTTTCTACACCTTTTCCTCTCCTCCCATTCTTCCAGACTCCTCCATGCGGCTCATCTGTGGGCGGTAGCCGCGCCTGACGAGGGTAACGAGAGTGACGAGGAGGAGGAGGATGAGGATGCAGCAGAGAATGTCAAGGTTGACCCCCCCATGGCACGATCAGGCCTAGGTCTGACCACAGCTACTGTTGACAAGTGTTCCGGCTCCTCCAAGGCAGAAGCACCGAAGACTGAGACTGATAAGGCGCGCGGAGAGAAGCTGGTTGGGGAGGCTGCGGCTCGAGGTGCGGATGGAGGGGGTGGGTCTCCTGAAAGCGCTGCCAGTGGCGCGCTTATGACGCGCCGCAGGGCAGGGAGTGTTGAAGGGATAGGAGGCAGTTTCGAGGATGGGATGGGTGGAAATGGGAGTGGCAGTGGCGGGGGGGGATCTGGCAAGCTGTTGTCTAGTCAGGCTGCTATGATGGAAGCAAACAGGGATCCGACCAAGTCCCCTTCGTCTTTCATCAAGAAATGGATGAAGGGTCAGAGTGGGTTGGGGAAGTGAACAAAAAGGGAGAGGAGAGAGGGGGTAGGGGAGGCGAGGGAAGGAAATGTGGAATGGTGGTGAGATGTGGAGTTTGTGGATGGTGGCAAGTAGAGCAGAGCAGGGCTGGTTGCGTTAGTGCGAGGGTGCAGTGAACTGTGTCTAGCTTGGTTGGTTACGGTTAAGCTTTCATTGCAATTTGGGGTTGCTTTTTTCCTGCTGAATAGTGGCTGGCCAAGGCATTTTGCCTGTTACCAGCCTGCAGTACAGGGCTCAGGTTTGGTTTTGGCCTACTCATGATTGGCAGTGTAGCTTTTTCAAAAACCCTTATGGGCAGTGTGTACTTTTCCATTACACTGATAGAGCAGTGTAACATCAGGTTTTGAAATTTTTACCCTGCATCATCAGTGTGGTTTTATTTCAAGCACTGACCATGTGTAAATTAGGTGTGTATGACAGGTGGCGAGAAAGTTATCTGCCTCCCAGGTCCCCTGCCCCCTCGATCGATTGTTTGTGAGGGGCGGGGGGGAAGGGGAGGACTTACGAAATTGGCGACAATTTCGCCTCCCCTTCCCCCTCGATCGATTGTTTGTGAGGGGCGGGGGGGAAGGGGAGGACTTACGAAATTGGCGACAATTTCGCCTCCCCTTCCCCCTCGATCGATTGTTTGTGAGGGGCGGGGGGGAAGGGGAGGACTTACGAAATTGGCGACAATTTCGCCTCCCCTTCCCCCTCGATCGATTGTTTGTGAGGGGCGGGGGGGGAAGGGGAGGACTTACGAAATTGGCGAGAATTTCGCCTCCCCTCCCCCTCGACCGATTGTTTGTGGGGAAGGGGGGGGAGGGGGGGGGGGGGGGGGGGGGGGGGGGGGGGGGGGGGGAGGGGGGGGTGGGTGTGGGGGTCCGTGTACGCTCTTCAGTGTAATCCTCGCTAAGGGAAACTTTACCCCAAGGCATCAGTGTGGCCTACATCGATACACTTACTGATCAGTGTAACACTAACTGTCAGAATATTATGCTCTAGCCTGTAGTGGGGTGCTCTATAGCGAGTACAACCCTTCTAGGGTTTGCTATTTGTACCCCCATTCTTGCTAGTTCATTCTCTCTTTTGCCTATTATCTTGACATGCTATCAGAGCAGGTCGATCCCTTTGGATCGATCCTGTGGGTGGGCTCACCACCTCGTTGCTTCCGCTGCAACTTCCGCTGCTACTCTATGTGCCGCACGCCCCGTGGCGTGCGGCAGTTTTTTCTTCCCGCCGTGCGCCCCGAGGCGCGCGGCGGTTTTCTGCCCGCCGTGCGCCCCGTGGCGCGCGGCGGTTCTCTGCCCGCTGTGCGCCCCGAGGCGCGCGGCGGGCTTCTGCCCCGTCACTCGACGCGTCGCCCCCGGGAGGCGTTGCGACGGGCGACGGGGACCCGCGCGTCGCCCCCCGTCGCCCGTCGTGGCCTGCGCGCGGCCCGTACAGCCGGCGTGCGGCCCGTACGGGAAGCGCCAGGCCCGCGCGCGGCTCGGGCCGCCTGCGCGCGGTTCGGGCGGCTATACCAGGCCCGTGGGCGGCCCGTTCCTCGCTGCTCCTGCCCTCTCCACTGTCCCCCGTGCTTCTACCGGCGCCCCACCCCTCCTACAGCCCGTTCTCCTGAATTAGGGTTTGGGGGTGAAGAGTGTGGGGGTGGCGGCTATGGGGGTGTCGGTTGTGAGTTCCTCCCCCTGCTCCTCCTCCTCCCTCGTCTCCCTCTGCTACAGCTGCCGCTGAGGGGGGTGGTGTGTGGGAGCCTAGGGTTTGGGGTTTAAGGGGGGTACCGTCGGAGTGGAGCTAGGGTTTGAAGCAGAGGGTGTGTGTCGAGGGGTGTGGGACAGTTGGAGGAGGTTGAGCGGAGGCCGCCGTCGTGTCGTCCGCAGCGCCTGTATTCCGGGGTTCGATTAGCCACCGGTAGCTCAGAGAGCCGGTTGCGCCGTCGCCTGTGGGTCCGTTGCTCCTGCCGCGCATATTAGCCGCGGAGCCTGTTACTCCTGTACTCCGGGGCACTCATTCCCGGTAGCCACGTTGTCGCACCAGAGCCGTCTGTTGCCCGTGTGTCTGCAGCTTCAGTCGTCGCCTCCTATCTACTCTCCTCTCGCCAGCCCTCCTCCTCCTCACTTGCCCCCCTGTGACTGCCTCTAGCTTTGCTCATAATTTGAACCTTTAAACTATTGCTTCTTGAACTTGTGCTCAGAATGTGTGGTGACATTGTGATCCACCCTGAGCTTGTACTGCTTTGTTTGCTCTGCTGATTGCACCCCACTTTGGCTATGGGGGTGTGTCAGAATATTATGCTCTAGCCTGCAGTGGGGTGCTCTATAGCGAGTACAACCCTTCTAGGGTTTGCTATTTGTACCCCCATTCTTGCTAGTTCATTCTCTCTTTTGCCTATTATCTTGACACTAACTCATAAAAAAATTACCCCAGCACATCAGTGTAGACCCAAAATTTCACCCTTGTAATCAGTGTAGAAGGGTAAATTACACTGATAACCTGAGCTCTGCTGCAGTAGATATGGATAGTGAGATGTTGTAAACTTGTACCATGCTAGGAAACTAGTTTTGCTTTGCCATGCAAGCTGAGCCTCAGTACAAGGAGCACGGTAACTAGGGTCGAGCAAACGTAGGTGAGCAACAAGGTCAGCAGAAGGGTCAATAGTGTAGGCCGGGAAGTAGAAACGGCATGAAGAGACGACCAAGAGAGGCAGAGGTGGAAGTGGGACTTGATCATTGGCTGATCGGGCCTGGTTGAAGCGTTCCTGAAGAAGGCTACCAACCCTAGCCAGGCCCTTGGGAGGAAGCATAAGAAAGACGAGGCCTCTAACCGCTGCGAAACGTGTCACTAAGAGCACTTGACAACAATACGGCCTAGTGTGGTTGAGAGGGGTCGAGTGCAGTCGGGTGCATGCTAAGCCGTGCGACCTTCTAGTGGGGGACACGGGGCCTTAAAACGAAGGGGCCGCGGGCTCGTGGCGCTTGCGATAGCTGCTGATGCTGCGAATGCAGCTATGCGGGCGGCTGCTGCTGCGCGTGCGAATTGTGCGCGCGGCTGCTGCGGCGTGGCTGCCCCTGCTCGTAGCAGGACGAGGCGGGGCAGCGCGATACGGGGTGGGAAGCACGGGCCAAGCAGCGCGCGCGCGCGACGCCTGCAGTGCGTGCGCGTGCTGAACGCGCGCAGGAAACCGCTACTGCACGTTCGCATGCTGCTGTACGTGTGCGCGGGGCTCTGCTACGTGTGCGCGCTGCTGTGCATGCTTGCGCTGCTCCTGCAGCGCAAGCAGTGCGGGCAGCGTAGGGCAGTGCGGGGCAGCGCGGGTAGTGCAGGGGCAAGGAACGAGGCAGCGCGTAACAGGGCGATGCGGGGTGACAAAAGGCGATATGGAGCACGGAACTAACTAGCTGATACCATCTCAATAACTAGTTATCTTAGGTGACTAAGGTAGGTGGTGAGAATAGTCATGAGGCTAGAGGAAGGAGGGGGGGGGGTACAAGAAGAGTGTCGATAGGTTTGGTGTACCCCGTAAGATGCACCCAACTGTAGCGTATGTTAGGACGCGTTGAAAGTGTCAAACTATATGTGCTGCATATTGTCTAGGCTGTAGTGGGGTAGCCCATATGGGGTACAACCCAATTAGGGTTTACTACTTGTACTCCTGCATCCTGTTAGTTCAGTCATTCCTGCTGCTAGATTCTAACATGGTTTCAGAGCACTAAGGTCCGTAGGACCGTTTTTTTTTTTCGGGCCCACCTACCGCTGCGGTTACCGCGCTACCCCACGTACCTGCCTGCCTTGCCTTGCCTTGTGACGTGCTGCACAAGCGCTGCCTCCTGCTGCCCTAGGCCAGCGCGCTGCCCCTAGAGGCCCGTAAAGCCCGCGCGCCGCCTCTACACGCCTGTCAGGCCCGCAAACACGCTGCTACCGCGCGCTGCCCGCACCGAAACCGCGCAGCCCGCACCGAGTCGCGCGCAGCCCGCTGCAGCCCTGCGCAGCCCGCACCGAGCCGCGCGCAGCCCGCTGCAGCCGCGCGCAGCCTGCACCGAGCCGCGCACAGCCCGCTGCAGCCGCGCGCAGCCCGCACCGAGCCGCGCGCAGCTCGCAGCTGCCGCGCGCAGCCCGCGCCGAGCCCACGCAGCCCGCGTCGAGCCGCGCGCGGCCTGCTACGGCCTCGCGAGGCCCGCGCGCGGCCCGCAGCAGCCCGCGCCGAGCCGCGCGCGGCCTGCTACTGCCTCGCACGGCCCGCGCGCGGCCCGCAACAGCCCGCGCCGAGCCGCGCGCGGCCCGCTACTACTTAGTGCGGCCGCGCGCGGCCTGCAGCAGCTCAGCGCGCTGTCAGCGCAGCCCGCGCCGAGCCGCGCGCGGCCCTCTGCCTCGGCCCCGACCTGCCGCTGATGCGGCCCCGCCCCGCAGCTGCCACGGCCCCGACCTGCCGCTGATGCGGCCCCGCCCTGCAGCTGCCACGGCCCCGACCTGCCGCTGACGCGGCCCCACCCTGCTCCTGCCGCTGAAGCGGCCCCGCCCTGCAGCTGCTTCGGCCCTGCTCTTCAGCCGGTGTTGCGGCCCCGACGTCGCCGCTGTCGAGCGCCGGCCATGCTCGCCCGGTGAGCGCCTGCTCTCCCAGCCTTTGGTGAGCGCCTGCCTGCCTGCCTGACGGCCTGCCTGCCTGCCTGCCTGCCTGCCTGGCTGCCTGCCTGCCTGCCGGCCTGCCTGCCTGCCTGCGCGCCTGCCTGCCTGCCTGCCGGCCTGCCTGCCTGCCTGCCGGCCTGCCTGTCTGTCTGCCTGCCTGCCTGCCTGCCTGCCTGTCTGCTTGCCTGCCTGCCTGCCTGCCTGCCTGGCTGCCTGCCGGCCTGCCTGCCTGCCTGCGTTCCTGCCTGCCTGCCTGCTTGCCTGCCTGCCTGCCACGCCTGCCCTGCCCGCGCTAATGATACTGGCAGGTGGTCAGATGCAGCTCCAGCGACGTTCACGCGAGCCTCTCACGCCCCAGCAGCTTAGTGAGTGGTATACTA